TGTCGGAGCCTAATTAGAGACAAAAATTTTTGGTTGCTCTATTATATGTGAGCGCGCCGGCAGCAATTAAGTCTGAGCTAAACAAACTATAAACGCACTCTCATGGTTCATGCATGGGTAATGGAGAGACAAAATCTTTCAGCGGTCCGTCGGTGAGAGAGAGACGAGAGGCGCCAAGCGCGATCAAAAAAGAAGTCCGCCGAGGCGCCTTCGGAGCTCAAGGGATGTCCGCTCCATTGCGGTTTCACAAGAGGCTCGCACACAGCGTGTCGTCTCGTGGAAACCCTCGCGAGTTAGATGAGCGTGCAGCCAATTATCACAAAGGGCGGCCGCGTTTCCCTGAAAGGACACCGGGTTTCTCAGAAATTGAGAGGAAACGCCGCCGCGAGAGCAGGAAAGCCCCATTCATTCTAGAAAAATGACAAATTGCCCTGTCTCGCAAAAATTGTCTGAAAAATCCACTGTGAAAAAATTTCCTTGCACCAAAAGCATTATTTTCTTTTTAAATTCTGAGATGGTTTTGAAAATTTTCTTATACGAACCAAATCAAAATATTAATTGTTTCATTTGCTTCTAAATGAGATATTACGGTTTTGATGGAAAAGTTTTACTGGTTTGTATGACTTCTTATACCTTAAAACAACAAAACTTCCCAATATAATATAGATAATAGGCCAACAGGAGAGGACGCTATTGATGTCAAATGCGTTATTTTGCTTTATTGATAATTAACACTAATATTGGCGCAAAAAACTGATTTGACCGTTCCTGTAGTGCAAGTTGCATATACCAACTTTCATAAAATTTGGACAATGAGCAAGAAAAACTTTATTGTAAGTTCCACCTGCGAGAAAATCTCTTGATTTCCAATCATGAGTTTTGTTTTGCAATGATGAAGCCACTGGAGAGCATGAGACCATTTCTAAGGTAAGAGATAATTTTTAGTATATGAAAATAAAAATTACACAATTCTCCCAGTGCCACTTTATATTGTTTTTGTTTTTTGGGATTTCCAAAGAATATCTAGCAAGATCATGGCATGACTGAATTTTATTAATTAATTTATTATTCTTTTAATATTGTTTTAATGCTTTTGTTTATTATCCTCACAAATAAAATCACCAGAGAAAAAAAGAAATAATATGTGAAGAAAGCACTTGTTGACAATTTTGGAGTTTAATCATATCAAATTTAGTAGCATTTTAATATAATGCTATTGTGCTGCGATAAATAATCCCTATATTTATAATTTTCCTATATATTTGTTTGTATAATATTTAATTTTGAATGGTGTATACCTATCCTCCCTATCCTTAAACAGACATCGGCGTTTGTTTGATGCGGCAAATACTTGTCGAATTTGTTTGTGTGTAAAAAATGACGTGTTGGTTTCATTAATAAAATTGGCCGCGCGGACCTCGTGCATAATAAATATCGGCGGTGCCTGCGTTGTAGTAACGAGTGGGCAGCGCAAATCCGCCGAGTGTCGGCCAAACCCTTTTGAACATGGGCGTCAGACCCGTATCACCGTGTCTGCGGTTTTGCTTTGAAAAACAAAAACAACACTCCGTCGGCCGCGTGTGCGTTTTTAAAAGCGAACATTAATTAACCCGCTCGATCGATAGGGAATAATGCCAAAGACCAAATCTAAGGGAGTTGAAAAAAAGAACTTTTGATTTTTCTATAAGAAAATCTTTGAGGAGATTCTATACGCTCATTGAATGGAGATATTTTTGAATTAATAATTCAGAGCCACCGCATGCGGCCAAGCGGAAACATAAATCTGACAATGAGAATAACAAGAGCGAGGTTTTATTATAATTTGACGGCTCTCGCTCGCTAAAGAGATAAAAGCTGGCGAAGATTATTCGCGCCAGCTCCCCGCGGTTCGGCGTGGTCGGATTAACAAGAGATAAAGCCGTCATCGCAGTGGCTAAATCGCCGCATTTTCGCCTTGTCTCGCGCACACCTTTTCAATAACACGTTGCATATGAGCCAACTCGATCTCGCGCTGAGCTTATATGTAAATGTTGTATATACCGCGCCATTGCACGCTTGCGTATTATAATGGTTATGCCAGCACAATATTTTTTTCTCTTTAAATTTTCAAAATATTTTGCACAATTCAATTTATTTAATGTTCAAGAGGAATATATATATAATGATATTTTTAAATTTATTTTTTGTAATTTTCTATAAATGTTAAGAAAAACAAATAGTAGTTATTATATTTTTGTAGTAAAATTTTTAATTTGCAAGATTTGCAATAATTTTATATTATTTACTTAATTTATATTTAATTTATAGATTTAAATAATGACACTAAAATTTTTTTTGAATAATATATATATATTTTACTTATTAATTAATAAAATTAATTACTATTTTTTTATTATTGATAAATAATTATTTAAAAAATATATATAAATATATTAATTATGAACAAGTACAAAACATAAAGTATATTGGTGTGAAATTCGGCTAAATGTTAATTGAGTTTTGCGCAGTGTATTTTTTAAATTATTGAAGATGAAACCTATAATTAAGACTAAAACAAAAATAATTTAAAGCAATGACATTAAATTTAATACCTATAAGGTTTGAAGTTATCATATCAAATATTAATATTTGATATGATACAACTTTTTCAAAACCCCAATGCATTAAAAAAAAATGCTTTGCTTTGAAGCTTTATTAATATATTGATTTGATTAGGCTTCTTATGTCCACACAAATCTAATACAATAAAAATTTCCACATCAAAGATTTCAAGATGAACTTGCATGAAAATTTTAATACGCTGCGATGCATGAGTAATTTAATCAAGATCCTATACCAAAGACGCAAAAATAATTATAATAACATGGAAAGTGATAAAAGGATAATTGATAGCCTGAAAACTGGCCGGGAAATGATTTTAATTATATATAATTTTGCATTTTATGGTTGTGCCACCTTTTATCAATTTGCTCCACAATATTAATGATAATGTCTGGACCAGGTCTGGACTATCCCGGACAATTTTGCTATTTAAATTCACATATAGCCCAAAAATAGACGTGCTTAATTGTTCTGTGTTGTTAAGAAAAGGCAGCCGACACCCCAACGATCATCAAAGTTGAAACTCTTGCTAGTGATCATTGTCAAGTAATTTTCTTAGGGGAGACGCGCGCGTGCACCCTTTCCTTTAGCATTACAATGTTGTAGATTATTCAAAACGCGATCGAAAGATGAGAGACGAGCGACCACAGAGAAAGAAAAATGGTTGTTTGATGGGCCAGACGAGTGACACGAGAAAGAGCGCCGCGTACATTATTTTTGAACATGCGAGTTCCCTGCTGGGCCGCTTCATTTGTTCGGCGGCGGCGAATCTTCACAGGCAAGCGCAGAGCTTAGAACCATTTTTCATTAATTGAAATTCGCCCACGGTGCTTTGGAATGGAAAAAAGGAACATACCCTTCCTGATGTACCCACGCAGTACGTTTTGTAACGTCGAGCAAGAAAACGCGCGCCGCGGTGCTGGACTAATGAGAATGATGCAGCGGCATTTCTCAATCCCTCCGATGGGCACCGATGCAATTATCAAAGCGGCAGACACTTTGTTTTCCATTTGCGCTTATTCATTCAAATGATTTTTTTAACATGAATAAATTCCTATTTAATTATTGAATAATACTAAAAGATTAATTCCAAGCTGACAGAAAGTGATTTTTTAATAAAAAAAAAATATACATTTTTTAAAAAGCTAACAAATATCAGCAAATAAATATATAAAAGTTTTAAATAGTTAATTGAAATAATATACTGTTAAATATTGCTCTGTGTACATCACAGTGTAAAATAGCGATTATATCGTGGGTTAGGTAATACAACCTGACGGCATTACTGGCGACTTTACAGATCAGGGAGCAGGAATAGCTGATTGGCCATTGGCCCGATAACTGACACTGGCGCAGGCAGTGCTCCCAAAACTCACAATTCAATAAAAATGAAGACAAACAAATAAAGGAACTAAAAAAAACTGCAAGGTGCAATTACAGAATTAGAAATATAGCACGCATTATTATATTAAAAAATGGCTTAGTGTTAGTTTATGACATTGGACGTTCAGACTCAGAGTGGCATGAAGAAAATATCGGAAAATATACCAGATATTAAAAAAAATTAAACCCATTGTAGAACTAGAAATGAAGAACTCCTATTTAAAAAAAAAAAGCTTTTCCTCGAATGTAAAATTACGTATAGCGCCTGAAAGACGTGAAGAAAATTGAGAAATTTACGATTTTTAGTGTTTTGCATTTAAGATGCATTGTAAAATGTAAAACTGTTGTGTTATGTCCACTTTGAATTACAGCTCAATGTTGAAGTAAATCTGCCCTTGCTGCCGCTGGTATTTTGCAACAAGACTGTCTCAGGAGGGACTTGTGGCCTGGCTGCTGACCCGTGTGTGGCCCTTTCCTGGAGGAAACTGAATTGCAGCATGGAGAGTCTGGATTCGATTCGCCCACATTTAACAACCATCGAGTCATCTATAAAATTTTCATTTTAATTTTCAAACAAATTATAATTTCTTCAGCTTTGCTAAATCATTATTTGGTTCAGTGACATTTTTTCTTCTTAAATTCTATATTTTTCTGCATCATCAAAATTTGCAACCCATACGAAAGTCTGTGATACATCTGAAATTTTTGCCAAGTGAATGTTGAAATTTTCAAAATTGTAGACGGGCGATTAGGTAAAAATAATGGTATATTTATTTCTATGTTAATAAAAAAATTTCACTGACTGAATTATTTAAATATTCGCACCCTCTCATAAAGGACATTAACCTCTAAATTTTGTAACAACTTTTTAGTGTTTTTGATATTTGATGATTTTGGATAGTTTGGAAGCTCTATCTTAAAAATAAATAATTTTATTAATTAAAAAGATTTGAAGGAAAGAATTAAGCTCATACTCTCATACAAAAAAGGTTCTCCTATTGCTCATCAGATGGCGTGAGATTCAACTCTGCAAGAAAATAGCAAAATAACACAGCTGCTGTTGCTGTGATTTTGTGTTGTTCTCCTGTCAGCCTGTCATTTCGCAAGATCATTGCATAAAAACTTCAAAAGCGTTCTTCTAATTTTGAACACCTTGCCGACGCCAAAATCGTTGCAAAATGGTAAGAGGAGAGCAAATAGCAAGAGTTACTCGGACAGTTCGTTAAACCGAGCTCATTCGAAGCAAGAATTTGCAAGTTTTTTAATTGTTGGTTTTTGAATTTCAAATTTCTTGCCTATTTCTATGTATTTTAGTTTGCGGGCTTCAACATGCTCCACGACATGATGCCTTCTCGACCCTTCAAGACCGGCTACAGGGCCTACTCGGTCAGCATGCTGCCCGGAAATGAGAGGTCGGATGTTGAGAAAGGAGGAAAAAGTAAAAACGAAATTTATTTAACAAATTTTATAAAGAATTCTCACGGAATTATTTACAGTCATCATGCCTCCTTCAGCATTGGAACAGTTAACCCGTCAAAGGGTTGTCTACCCGATGCTTTTCAAGCTCAAGAGTGATAGCACAAAGCGAGAAACACACTGCGGCGTGCTCGAGTTTGTTGCGGATGAGGGCAAGGTGTACCTGCCAAATTGGGCAAGTATTTTAATTGGTATTAACAAATCGCAAGAATTTTTGGCGAGAAATTTGCAAGCCCAAAATTTAAATTGTGCGGAAGAATTTTTTAAATTCATTGAGGAGACGGTTTCGGAGAATGATTGTCATGAGATGGTCTAAATGCTCTTTTAATTACCAAATGACGTTTAATATCACATAATGGTTTCTTCAAAGAGTAAGAGATAACCTGTATTTTTTTTTATTAAATGTTGTTAATTGGAAAGGTCAGTGGAAGCTAAATTTATGACGGAAGCATTAAAAATTCAAAACTTGAATGTTTGAACTGATTTGAAATTCTTGCTGAAATTTCCTGATTTATGTATTTAAAAAAAATGCTGAATTAACTTTTTAATGACTTCAGAGAGGTTATTACCTGGCACTTATTAATCATAAAAAATAACTCATTTTAAAATAACTTTATTTATTTCAAGTTAAAATCTGTATTTTGAATAAATTTTTAGACCCAATTTTAAAATTGTAAATGAAATTTAATACACGTTGTTATTTTTGGTGTATTTTTAAATAATTATTTATTCCCTGTTATTGCAGATGATGAGGAACATGCTTCTTGAAGAGGCTTCTCTTATCACAGTCGAGAGCGTTTCTCTTCCTGTGGCCACTTTCTCCAAATTCCAGCCCCAGTCCGAGGACTTCCTTGACATCAGCAACCCCAAGGCAGTGCTGGAGAACGCGCTGCGACACTTTGCCTGTCTCACCACAGGCGACATGATCTCTATCATTTACAACTCCAAGGTCTACGAGTTGTGCGTCCTGGAGACCAAGCCTGGCCCGGCCGTTAGCATCATCGAGTGTGATATGAACGTAAAGACTAAAAAACTTGTTTTTCTGTTTCCTCAAATTGCTCTAATCTCAGGTGGATTTTGCCGCACCGGTCGGCTACAAAGAGCCCGAAATCGAGCCTAAAAAGGAAGATGGCGTTTGCGTTGATTCATTCGAGATGGACCACGAGTCTGGAGGCTTCCAGGCGTTTGGCGGAGCCGGACAAAGGTTGGTGCACCCGTGGCCTTGGCTGCCGAGTGCCTCTTGCAAAACGACAGCTCAATCATAATTGCACGACAAAATATTTTAGCGCTGTTGAGCTTAATTGGGTCATTTGAATAATTTAAACTCGTTGAAAAGATTAATTCTTCGTCAACCTAGCCGCGATGATGCTTGGCGTTTTATTTAAATTTAATGGTGCCGATTAAGCTGGATATGAGGCAATTTATTTCTCAGCTGCCTTTTCAATCCTGCTCAATTGTCATAATAATGAGACACTGAATTCCAGACTGGATGGAAAGAAGAAGAAGGAAGAAAGTGTGAATGGAGACGCACCCAACGCGCAGACGGCCTCTCAACAAAAAGGCACTTACACGAGGGGCATTCCAGACTACGACTACCAGCCAGGGGTCATTAGATTCATGAGGCATGCCAAGCCGCAACAGGAAAAAGAGGTATTAACATTAAGACGCTTTTTGGCTCTTGTTAAGCGCTCATATCCTTATTCAGGAGGTAGCTGAAGATTTTAAGTACTTCTCTGGTGCCGGGCGATCGTTGAGAGATGCCAAGAGTAGAAAGTGATTCTCATCCTTAGTTCAAGACTCAATATAATTTAAGGGCAAGAATGGTTTGCAAAGAAAGAATGAGTCTCTGCTGAATGTTGATTTGAATAAAAAATTGCCTGATTTGTTTATTAGCTCTTTTTGAATTATTTATTAATATCATTACACTTGACACAGACAGACATTCACAAGTACATTTCGTTCGTATTCTATTTTTTTTATCACACATTTCAATTACTCTTTGCGTTTGATTCGCAGCTTAGTCAGATCAAGTGAAATTAGTCATATTGCTCAAAATTATGTAGGTAGAGAGATCAGCATTCTCTTAATAGCGTATCATAAACATTGCTGCTGCAGAGATTCCCTGTATTTCTCGTTGATACATAACGGGTACCATCTACGGTTGTATTAATAAAAATAATTGGCAGCACAGCTTACTAAATTGACTTAAAAAATTTAGGTCTCCATCCAATCAGCGTAAAAATCTTTGTTACAAAATAACAAAACTTTTTGAGCATTTTCATGTCATATATCACTAAAAATACTTTTTATAAATTCAAAATATTGCTTATTTTGCCAATCAGTTATTAATAACAATAAAAATAATGACACGCGTTTCGATTTAGGAATGTGTTTACATTTTCTCAACTTGTTGTATATCATCATTACTTTTCAAGTCTTTTGTAATACTACAAAAATTCATTACTCACGCTTTTCCTCCTTTGTTTCGCGGACACAATAATAATTTTTCTACTTTGAATCATTTGTATTATTATAATTACCAAACTCATTTTGAGTGGTTTGCGCCATTTAGTGCAGTTGAAAAAAAAAATCAAGACTAGATGTTAAATATCTGCGAAAGGCACAAAAACAGACACATTGCATGTTGCTTTCGAATTGAGGCCAAAACAGGTGCATTTCTTTGCCGCAGAGCAGTCACTTTTGTGAGTTTTCAATAAATTTTGTGCACATAATACGGTGGCGAAAGTCTCAAAAACCAGCTACGTGACAAGCTGTGGGTGCCTCGAGGCAATAAATTGCAGCAACATTATTAAGTACCATTTATTACAATTATCAGTTAAGACTTTACTTTGGAATGCTTGCACTGAACGAAGAAGAGTCTGTGAACCCCCCAAGAAAACGACGCACCATTTTTTTCATCACATGCGCGCGTGACAACCAGAAATCAAAGTCTGCTATTTTCTCATGGAATATGCTACAATATTGCTGTAAAATAATCATCTACTGAACACATATCTAAAATCATCATTCTCGATCGAGGATAACTGACAAAAATGCTATCATAGAAACAATTGATCAATCCATGTCAATTCCAAAACGCGTCTATCATATATCAGTTGCTAAAGAGAAATTTCCGCTGAAAAATATGTCATGCCGAGACTATGAGGATAATTTTGCAAAGAAGGCACGTGTCAAAGTGCAGTGCTCTCAACAGGCGAATCTGATCTTTTGAGCGTCTTCACTGAGTTTGGAGAGGTAGGGTTCGATTTTCCATTGGGATTTGAGACGGTCAGCACTGTGATGCAGTTATTTCTTCGGCGGTGAATTGAAGGTGCCGGGATGGTCGCCGTCGCCGTCTTGTTGTACATTATGTTGCGGCGCGGAGGAACGACCGGTTTGATTTTCTGGCTCGCCTCCTGGTTGAGGTTGGTGTCTAGCGTAGTCATGCCTGGCGATTCGTCCTGATTAATTATGCACTTGGCCGGCGAATTTTCTTTGATTGGCTGAAGTAGAGACGGAGGATTGCTCGAGGGGGATAAAATTTCTGGAGTATTTGATTCCGAGCTACTACTGCTTCTCCCTGGAATAAGGCAGAATAGAATAATTAATTCAGGGTGAACCAGATTGTCTTGATTTTTTATACCTGAATAGTGCAGAATATCGTATTCCAAGTCGTAAGGTAGGGACATTTCTACTGCTAAGTGCATGGCCAAGCCTTCCAGCCAAACTTCCACAACCTCGAAAGGGGGCCTGTCGATTAAAATGCAAATGAGCACACATTCCATCAATTTTATTTTGCATTTTATTACCTCTTGTCAGGGTTGAGATCACAACAGAGAAAGGCAACACGGTACAACGGCTCTGGGCACAAACTGCAAAATTTCTCAAGAAAAATCTTCTGGCTCAAACCGAAATCAGAAGACCTTGGCAGGTAGTCAGGGTCAGCATGGACTCGGCCAATTATCTGCGAATATGAATACAAATTGCAGATTAATGCTAATTGAGCGTTTAGCAACTACATACCTCACAGAGGACGATGCCAAAAGAGAAGATGTCAACTTTCTCGTCGTACTTGTTGCCTTTCATCATTTCGGGGGCCATCCAATATGGGTTGCCGACCACAGTGTACCTCTTTTTTCGCTCCCCCCTTCTGCTGCTTCCTGGTGTACCGGCGTTTCTCCTTCCACTGCTGATTCTGGCGTTTCTCTTGTCTGAGAGGCCACCAATGCCCGGAGATGAAGAAATAATGCGCGCCAAGCCAAAGTCAGCAACCACAACTGTCCGGTCCTATGAGTAAAAAAAAAACAGTAAATTTTATGCGACGTTAAAAGCGGCAAAGTTTTTGTGGGCAATTAAAACGGTCATTATAAATAGGCGCGCGGCATTGGCGACCCGAATAGAAAGAACACATACCTCTCTGACCAGGCAGTTGTGTGAATTCAGATCTCGGTGGATTATGTTTCGGGAGTGGAGATACGCCATGCCGGACGCAATGTCCTTGGCAAAGTTGGCTCTCTGCTCCCAGGGGAGGGGCTCGTCGGGGTCTTGAAGCAGATCGCGGAGGGTGCCGCCAGGGATGAATTCGGTGACCAAGTGCAAACGGCGCTCTTTGTAGAGGACGCCAATGAATCTTAGCACGTTGTGGTGGTTCAGGCTACGCAAAACGGCGACCTGTAATTATCAAAGCAGAGCGGCCGTGGAATTTCGGGTCATTATTTTTTATGTCTCGAGCCTCACCTCTTTCAGAAAATTTTTTTGCGCCTCTTCGTCAACTCTGTAAAGCTCCTTTAAGACCATAACCTAAAAAAAGACACACAAGATGGTTATGGGTGCGCTTATTTTTATTGCCAAGCACACGGCAGATTAGCCTAAGCACGTGTGCAAATCTCGGCGAGATTTGTTTATAGGGGTGTTCGCGTACCGCGTATTTTCTTTTCTTATCAAGAACCGCTTTAGTTACATTTTGATTATGAGTGAGTGTGTCTGTGTATCGCAGGCAAGCCACACACACACTCACCAGTCAGTTGAGTGCAAAAGTCACGTGAGAAGTAAGCCGCTGGTGTGATTTAGGGCTTCCATCAAACGGCGATTATTCACGCGCGGTCATAAAAATTCAGCGTGTATCGAAAAATGAAGGGGCCAGGTAGAAAAATAATAAAAATGTTTTACGCGAATAAAGAATTTTATACCTCGGCAGTTGCCCGGTGGGTGACTTTGAAGACCTGGCCGAAAAACCCTTTGCCCAGGAGTTCTCCTTTGACCAGATCGGACGCTCGGAAGACTCTCTGACTATTCCTAGGAGGCTCAACGCGGAATGATCTCGTCCTAGACAAGTCACAGCCCTCATCTTTTAGACCAGGACTAGCTCTGAAATCAAAAACGAGAAATAGGGAAAACATTCCACGATTGCGTACTTCATTCATTTGACGAGAAATAAAATGAGAGAATTTTTGTGGATAAGAAAAATGAGTATTAACCATCGACTAATTTCAGGGCGATTTATTTCTCGGGCACTTGCCCTTCTCACACTTGTGGCACTTGCCCTTTTCACACTGCTTGCGTCTGTTGGGGTTTTGGCACTGTTTTCTGCGTCTGACCTTTTTGGCCGCCACAATTTCCGACGTTTGGGGACACGCTTTAGGCGCCCGCTCCTTGATGGCAGCCACGCGGTCGGCGTTGACGTTTCTCGTCAGAGTTCTCGCGTACGTGGCCAGCCGACCCAATTTTCCGCCCTGACGCCCGCGGTTGTTCTGCCGCTTTTGCGTCACCGTCGGCACTTGCACTCGGCGCGGACGGCCGTGTCCGTCCAACGCCAAAAAGAGCGTGTGACGCGTGTCCGAGTGCCGCACCGATGAGTACGTGTTGTAGTGGTCGAGTTCGATGTTCTCGCGCAGCAGACACTCGTCCGTAAACCTCCTAGAGCCGTAGGGCAGGCCGCACCCGTCCAGGCATAGGTACAGGCACGTCGCCAAGCTCTGCACCTGAAGCAATGCCGCACGTCAAATCAACATGTTTCCATTTTTTCCCCGAGATTTTGTGCGCCTTAAAGGGGAATTTTTATTTCTCTCGACGGCAAAGCACATACACATAAATGCGCGCCGCCGCCGCCGACGTCGAAGCCGCGGTATATATATTTTAGTAAGTTAATTAATTAAACGAGTCCTTCTGCTGATGGAGAAGCGAGGTCACACAAAAAAACAGCCGCAGCCAAGCTTTGTGGGGAAGCATTTTTATAGGAGTTATAATGGTGGAGGCAAAACAGAGGTCACCTTCAATTTTCCGAGTACAGTTAAATCGCGCGACGATTAAAACATCTCGCGCTATGCAAGTCGTCTCTCTGACACACGAAAATTTCTGGCCGCACTCTTAATTCGGTAAGGTCAAAGGCGAGGGGAAAAATTATTTGGATGATGTTCAAGTGCACTTTTGCAATTTGTAAAAGCACCGAGCGGGTTGGGCGCGCGCGCGAGCCGCCGTGTTTAATTTTAAAACACGCGCCGAGACCGCGCGATGCAAAGTAAAAAATAGAGCATTCTTTCAACGGCTGCCGTTTTTCCTTGGTCACGGGAACGACGCCGGCAGACGAGTCATGAATGATTTTTGCTCGGCCAATTCTAAAGCGTGCTTTCAAGCGAGAATTCGCGCAGAAGTGGTCCACCTGGCACAAAAAGCAAGCGGATCACGCAATCAGACGAGTAAATAAAATAGGTGGGCGCGCACGGTGGTACATAATGTACCCCGTCACATGCACACGCACCGACGGAGGGACAAGATTGTGGGAGAATTGTTCCACGGAGAGTTATTCCACAGCCTTCTGGAGAGTTATTCCATGTGTAACGCGAGTTAAGTTTAGAGATCAAGCTTCCATAAAAGAAAAATTATTTGTTTAATAGTTTTATTGAATTTATTCCCTTATTTCAATCAATTTGTTCCAGAATTCCAGATTTTTCTTCCTTGATTTTAATCAAAATTACTGATTCGGTTTTAATTTTTGCTCTTATATGATCAAATACACATGCAAAAATAAGTTGGATACATTTTGAAGTTAAGTTCCTTTGAAACTGGACTTGGAGGTTTTTCCTATTCTTATCTGTTTTAAAGTCCATTTAAAAATTGTTTTCCTTAAATTTAGATTATACTAGATTTTATCCAATTGGAAATTTTAAATAATATAATTGTAAACATTTTGAACAAACGCAGAAGATTCTTATATTTAAAAGAAACAACTTGAACTGCAAATTATTAACTCACATGCAGCCAGAGAAAAAAAAATAAATTTCATTAATATACATAATATTTTACAATTTTTTTTTTTGCCAATGAGTAAAAATTATTTTTATTTAGTTATATATAGTCAAACTGAGCGTTGGAGTTTCTAAATTTTCTAGGGTTTTTAAACCTAAAATTAAATTGAGTGAAAAAAAAAATGCTTAATTATCAGAATTATTATATTATTTACAATCTTTCAAATACATTTTAGTTTAAAAAATTATTGAGCGTAGTTATAAATTTTTGATGCCTAATATTGTAATATTTAATATTTTAGTTACTTAATTGTGCAATGAAAATGTATTTAAAAATATTAAAAAAATGACTCTTGTTTTGACTACCTCAAATATTTCAATGTATCTGAATGGATAACAAATTAATAAATAAATTAACTCATGATTTTCCACGCGTGGAACAAGTTGCCGCATTTCACATGTGATGTCACATGGTGCATGGAACAACTCTCCGTGAAACAATTCTCCGAACACCAAGGGACAAAGCACCGCGCGACTTTCACTTTTTCTCAACTTGGGAAATCGCCGGCGACCGTCCTTTTTAAAATAATAAACAGCCGCCGGCCAAAATCATTAGAAAGGTGCTCCAGTAACAAATATAAATGAAAACTTATAGTACGTGACGGATTCGCCGGCGAGTAAATTGATTGAAATGCCCTTGACTGACACACTCCTCTCGCACACTCGTCAAAAAATTAGCGTGCGGCGGATGGAGGAGGAAGAAAGTCAGGAGCAAACTGGCTCGCACGCACATTCGGATAAATTCACCGGGTGTACCGAGAAACGAAAGACCCACTTGTAAAGATTTAGTGACGTAGCGAAGAGGGAATGAGGAAGACCCGAGCTGTATTGATCTGAGTTAAGCTCGGTTCAATATCACCGAAAATTTAAGACCGGCAAATAGTTGCGTGGGAAAGGGCCATTGGGTGCTCATCTAGGATGCTAGATCGACCCGTTTTCCGTTCGTTTGACACGCGAGAAAATCTAGGAGAGAAAAAAGAAGCGAGAGCTCTGTTTTACGGCCATGGCTGAGAGGCAATCGGGGGCTTCGCAAAGGTGCAAAAAAATGGGCGCACAAAATCTCGGTTAAAAAGGCGGGTAAACCGCGGCGTTTTTCTACGAATGTCTGACCTGCAGGACGCCGAGTCCGACGGTGGAGCGCTGGAAGACGGTGAGGTCCGACTGGTCGTCGTAGGTGCCGTTGACCTTTCCGTCGGGGAGGATTTGCAGGTGGCGGTTTTTGACGAAGAGCTGCACTTTCCTGGCGGCGCCGAGGAACTGCTCAAGGTCGGGCGACCTTTTGCGCACGTCGGTCTCGTCGTCGAGGGCGGTTTGCGACTCGTCGTCGAGCACGAGGTGTTCCATTTCGCTGTCAAGAGTGGGTTGGTCCGGTTCGTCGCTAAAAAGGTCGAAGGTCCTTGAACCGCCGCGCCAGACACGCCGCCACATGGTCGACGAGGCAGGTGCCGAGGAATCTCGCTCCGAGCCGCACACCGCCATGGTCAACAAGAGAAAGATGAGCAGCCGGCCGAAGCCGTGGCGCAGCAGCAATTTCTCGCTCAAAACCATGCCGAGAGCGAAGAGAGAGCCTCTCTTTTAGAGCGAGAGGCTCACCCTCGATTGCCACACAGGCCGATCACACTGCACGTAACACCGAGGAGAGCAGAGAGAGAGAGAGAGAGCGCGAGAGAGAGAGAGAGAGAGAGAGAAGCAAGAGAGAGAGAGGCGGTCGGCGGTGTGCTCTGCTCTTGTCTCGGAGGAATAAATAGAACTAACTGTCGTCTGTTCACCGGCAATGATGAAGACGTGACTGAATAATGAGAGGCGTTCGTATTTTTATCACACGTGGAAAATGGCACCAAGTTGAAAAGCAGCGCGCCCACCACCACACTGTACGTGTTATTGTCTGGGCCGCGTCGGATATCATCTCGGGGAGTGGAATTTCACTTTCAGCTGAACCGGGCCTACGTGCCAAGCCGCAGCCCTTATCGCGCCCAATTCGCTGATGCTTGTTGCATCACACCGCAAATTTCGCGCGCGCTCATCCGCCCGCCCATTTATCTCGCTACCGACAGACGCACACACCGCGACTTGCAATTTTGTTGCCTCCGAATAATAGGGGGGGTCACGTCTCTCTCTCTCTACACTTCTCTCTCACCGCGCGCGCTAGCTCTCTCGCTAGCTAATTAGAGGTCGCTCTTTCAATGAGCGCAACGAACTCTTTTGCCGCCGCACACGTACTCCACCGCGGCGGTCCGCCGATTATCAATTACGCAAATGAGTGGGGCCCGAAAAATTGCGACGCCCGCCCCGCAGAGTGCTAATTGGCAGATTTATCGCCGCTTTGGCACTTATCAAAGGCCGCCCGGTCATCTGACTTTAATTACGGGCCAATTACTGATCGGAAAGCATAAGGCGCCGCAGCAGCAGACGCAGCACAAAAACAAATCAGTCAAAGCACCACCGTCGCCGAAAATAGGGGCTGCACACAGACAGTCACGCACATGCACACTACTTCCTCCTCTCCAACTCCCTTTCGCCTTGGGATCGATCTACCAATCGCTAGCACAAAGGCCATAAAAATAAAACATACGGGCGCAATAAAGAATGGCATTCCTTCTCCCCGTGACATCTGCTTTTACCAAAATAGACTGAAAAGGGCAAAAAGGGAGAGTTAAGAAAAGAGCCGCACCCGTCTAGGAGTCTGGACATGGAGGATGAGCGCTCCTTGCATCCCGGGGAGGAATTGCAGCCGGCCTTGTTCTGCTGAGCGCTTCTCCGCAGTTGTCTTGATCTTGACCCACTGATGTACCCCTCGTCCCGCCTCTTGAAAAGGCGCTCTTTTTCTTTAGTTGGGCTGGACGGCGACACTGGCGTCGTGTGCGGAGGAGAGTTTTCCGCCTTGTTAGCGCCCTTCAGGTGGCGCGGCTTCAGGGCGTCAGGGTCGTGTTCGATCGTCAGCTGCAAATTCAATTATTATTGTGGAATGCGGCAGGCAAAAAAAAAATATGCTTTAGGTCCGACGTTTTAATTAAGTCGGCAGAAAATAAAGAAAATTCCTATCTCGGTTTTTTGCTTACCTGCAGTACTGTGTTGGAGTAGCGCAGAAGGTTCTCAACATGCTCAAGCGGCTGTTCGGCAACAGGCTCCCCATTGACCTCAAGAATGCGATCGCCAATGTGCAGAGACATCAACTCGGAGCTCATGTCCAGCCTAAAGGGGATCGTCTCTTATTATTCTTGTGTAACTTGGTGGATTTCAAACAGAAATGTGCAACTGGCGCAATACCATAGCTGATAAATTATGAATGGGGTGTTGCACAAAAACAACGGAGTTTGGTTGCAAATTAAATCATAACGAAGCAGACAGACAGGAAAGATTTAAATTTTTGCATTGTATTGATTTTCTTAAAGCATTCACAATAATAATGAGCGTGACTCAATGGCAAGCAAAACAGCGCATCAATGGAAAGCATTCAATGCGCAATAAATTATTCAGTGTTACACTACTTTAAAACTGGAATAAATTTAAAATAATCCAACTGGAACTTCATAATTGATTTAAATTATCTTATTAAAAATTTATTCTATTATATTCAGTCTAAAATAAATTTTACAGTTCTATATTTTCATATTTTTTTCCAAGCAATCATTATTAATTTATAATAAATAATTGTCCAATGATAAGAAAAAGTTGTGGAAATATTTGAAGATCAATTCGCAACTTTTATATATAAAAAGCAAATACGCTGACCCTTACCAGCAAACTCTTAACTAAATAAAAATTAATTCTGATAATTTATCCTCCTCCAGTGCCAGAAAAGTGCCTAAAAAATTGCTGGTGTAAAAATCACTTCTCATCTGAATTATTCCCATATTCGATTTTTGATATATAATTTTATTGGTTTCCTAGGTTGTAATCCTATTTCAGCAGAAGCCAACTACTATTTAGTGCTGGGGAGGCTAGACTCGCATAGGGGAGTGAAACCTTAATTTTGATTCTACTAAAGCTGGCTGGCTTATTCAAATAGTGTGCAGCTTTCACGGATGTCATTAGTAGAAAGCAAACAAACGGAGGGGGATTCACGCATAATCCTATTTGCTTGACACCACACGACAAAAACACTGGTAAAACTAAAAATATACTACTTGTGTGTTTGAGTAAGCAGCAGCCAAAAACGAAAGAAAAAAGTCAAACATGTGACGACTCGGTAATCAATACCTCCTTTTGGCTGCCTGAAAACAGACTGTCGCAGTGGAATGGAGCCAAGAGGCTGCAAGCTTGCCCATCTTGCATCCCCAATTACACAGCAGACTGTTTTGTTTTTGCAAAAAAGAGACTCCGTTGCATGTCAGTCAGTTAAAAATGCGCTCACGTAAATCAAATGAAAATTACTTAAAATATTGCGAAACTCACTCTGAAATACGGAGGCCTCTGCAGCCAAGAGGGTGAGGGGCGAGAAAGCCGCCTCCTCCGCCTCCCTCCAAGCTCAGCTTGACGGTCCTTGGCCCGGTTTGTGTCGCAGGGGCAGGTGGAATTTCCACCAGCCGAATTGAGTGCTGCGGCTTTCCAGCCTGGCCGCTGGAACTGGCCTGCCGGCCGAGCAGCGGCCGCATTTGCCTTTTGTAGCATTGGCCGCAGTAAAGTTTTGACCGCTCCACCAAGGCGTAGGCCTCGCCGTCGCCTATGAAGCCGCTGCACGAAGAACAGCAAAAGCACTCTGGATGGAATTTGTGGTCGCCAGCGACCATCACTGGTCCAGTTATTATCTACAGACAACATACAAAATAGTGTTATTAATAAAAATTCACTTGCAATCAATTGAAAAAAGGGGAAAAGTTTCGTATTTAAATTTTCAGTTATTGAATTTGCAATAATTTGTGTCCCTGGCTTATTTTAAAAATATTTTAATAAAATAAATATTTTTGTTAACTTTGTGTTATTCATAATCTGATTTATGTATGCAATAATTGTGACGATGCAATCAGCAATTAAAATTGTTTATTTATTGTGATTGCCAATCATAATAGTAATACTGATGAGTGTAATCAAGGGTTTAAATTTTCTGAGAATTGCATGATGCTTGACAGGAAACTTTGATATGCATCGACCTTTGAAGGATCAAAATGCATGAAGCAGTTATTTATAAACCATATCCCTAAAAAATGTTGGCTACAACTGTACTATCATAAATCATTGTGTCAAGACAACATAAAAGAACATAAGCAAGGCACAGGTCAATGTTTAATTTATATAATTTTGATTTTGATTTTTTAAAGGTTAGTTGAAAATCAGGCCCTAAAATTTTGTAATTAATCTGGTTTTCTGAAAATCAAATTATATACAAAAATTTTTTAATTTTCATTTCAATTTAAAAAAAAAAAAATACGTTTTGCAGATCAGAAAAATTACAATGCAAATTTTAAAGTAAAATATTAAGTTTTTAATACCGAGTTTAATATTTAGATTTAAATTTTTTGTTTTAAGTTCAAGAAAATACATAAAGTAATAACTTCTGGTACAAGTTCTTTTGAAATCAGCATGCAAAGACTGAGAGACACGGCGGTCATCTATTTTTACAAATTAGATCATCTGAGGAAAACATTTAATGAAACCACCGACGGTGCTCAGCAGCTGAGAGGTGAATGACTAAAAACAAGGCTCTATTCATAGCATTTGCAAAAATGCCAACCGCCTCTAGAGGATGTCACGCAAAATTTCTTTTTACGCCGCACAGGTGACAAGATATTTTAATGAGTTTAAAGCTCCGTCGCTCGAGCATATTCGAGACCACCATGGGCAATTAGAGCACCATAATCAAAAGCAGTCGGGGCGGAATTGCAACTCTTTGAACTTGGGAAACAAGACGGTAGACACTTTGAACTTGGCTATTTCTTGGCTCGTTTACCACGACATTAAAATCACCTGGCCACATTGTTGGCAAGACTCTCCAAACTTCGCACAGTAGTCGTCTTTGCAGAAAAGCAATCCGTCTTTTTCAAAGTACCAACTCGACAGTGCAGCATCACAGGCAGAGCATCTGGCGAAAATCATAAATTGGCAACGTTAATTAAAGTGGCCATCAATCTTCCTGAATTTAATTTGCTAAAAATAGACTTACCTAAAACATTCTAGGTGCCAGTCTTGGTTTAAGGCATGGACAAACTCTCCTTCCTCGACTTCGTTGCGGCAAGCGGCGCAGAATGAGGGCTCTCCATCTTCTGCAGACAAGACCATGATAAGCAATAATTAAAAAGCAAATCGAAACGGGTGTCCGGGTGTTTGAGCAGAGTGCTCAATTAGCACTTCTTAATTTATCACCCACGGACAAGGTGATTAAAAAGCGAGCACGCGAAAATTTCTGGCGCATTGCAAAATTAGCATTCGCAGTGGCATGCATGCAGCAAAACACATCCTGCGCAGAGTTTTGCACAACTCTCCCCGCCTCTGTGAAATTTATTTCGTGCATTAATACGATTTGTTTACATCGTACTTTGTCTCTCACGGCGTGCGAGAGAAAAAGCCGACGCTTAAATAATTATGTCTGGCGGACGGGCGACAATTACAAGGCAATTTGTTTTGACTTTTCGTACGTGTTAAGCAAAAAGACGTCGCGTCCCTCCGCAGAGCAATAAAAATCTGTCGTGCCCCCGCAATTTTCAACGCCCACCTTGCAACATTTCGTTTGCCAGTTTGCTGATAAAAACTCGCCTCGATTCGCATGCAGCGGGCTCATTTGAAGTGCTCCATATTACGTTCCGCGAAAAGTGTCCGTGATTTCTAAACTGGAGAATAAATTTAGGCCAAAATATTTACCAGTTGTTGTTTCTTCCTCCATAATCACATCTCTTCGCCTTCGGACAGCAACACAAGCACCAAGCAAGCTTTGACAGCAATGGCCGCACTGCCGCCAACTTTTACGAACTATAGTTAATCCGTTTTTCAAATAATAATTTTTATTTACGTGGTATCGTTTAGGTTTTCATGATTTTAAATTGTATGCTATATTCAATTACAATCAAATTTGTTTCTTCTTAATCTTCTTTATTGTTGAACTGAAACTTTATTTCTGAATCTAATTAAAATTTTGTTGGCAGCATTAAGTTGCAAGGTCTTGCAAATCAAAACGTAAACAAAAGCAAAGCAAACGTTGAAACTCGTCCAACGTGCGTGTGCTCTTGATTGTTTTTCGCGATAATACTGATAATATTTTTTTTGATCAACTGAAAATGCCGAAAAGGAAACTCAACGAGGAGGAAGAAGAAGATAACAGCTGGGTGAACGCTGCAGGTGGCTCTGCAAAGATTGTAGACCCTGAGAAAATAAAAAAGCATTCGTTGGACTCCGACGAAGAAGAGAGCGATGAAGATGAACAGAAATATCACATACTTGCCTCTGATGATATTACAGGTTTTATATCGCAAGTGACTGATATCTTGTATTTATTCATATTTTATAATTTTACAGGGCAAGAGGAAGCCACGGCTCAATTTGACGGTGAAGTGCAAATCACTCCTTTCAACATGAAAGAGGAGCTGGAAGAGGGTCACTTTGATACAGAGGGCCACTACCATTTTAAAAAGGAGAGCAGAGAGGAGAGAGATGTCTGGCTCGACAATATTGATTGGATCAAAGTATAAATATCAGCATTTTTATTGTAAACCAAAAATTGAACTTTCATTTTTAAAAGGTTCGTCGAACTGCACCAGAGGAGGGTGTTTTAAAAGAAGCTGAAAGCAGCAGTGATGATGAAGAAGTGAAGCAGTTTGATAAAGTAGGAGGCTACCGCTCCATATTGTCTCACTTGAAACCTGGGGAGTCTGTTGCAAAAGCTTTGAGGAGACTAGGTTGTGAATTTAAAAATTATGAAATTGTTCAAATTTTACATAATTTTATTTCTAGGTGGAGGACAGAGTTTAACTGCGTCACAAAAACTTAAGATGAAGAAATTGGGCCAAAGTGTCGAGAGTTCCTCTGAAGATAAGGCAGATTTTTTGACATTAACTGAGCTCGCCAACAACATGCTGAATGCAACGGGAAATATGAACGTCTACCAAGAAACATTTGAGCAAATCCAATGCACTGTAATTGAATTTTATATTTTTGTAATATTTGCTTAAAATATGTATCACACAGGTCAACATTGCTGATGCCAGAAAAGCAAAAGTTGAGGACCCATTAGACTTATTTGCTGACAATTTTGATGAGAAGGAAAAGGAGCGAATCGGAGGCACGTCTGGTGAGGCTGAAAAGCCTACTGAAAGTGAACAGGAGAAGGAATCATCTTCTCAAGACCAAGCAGGGAAAAATGATGGTAATTTAAAATAAAAAAGCAATTGCTAATAATATTTATATGTTAAAATATTTATTTATTTATAAATGTTTTGTATATTTAATTGGCAATTATTTTTTTCAGTTGTGCAATGGGAATTCAAATGGTCGGAGAGCAGTGACGAAGTGCATGGACCACATACATCGGAACAAATGCAGGCTTGGGTAGAGGAAGGTTACTTTAAGGATAGTGTGTGTGTCCGCAAAGTGGGCAGCGCAGCAAATTTTTACTCCGCAAGAAGGGTCGACTTTGAACTTTACATCTAGACTTATTCGTAATAATGAGGGTTATCAAAAAACTGCCACTTTTTATCCCTAGTTTCATCCAAATCGTACTCCAGGCATCTCCGTGGCGGATCCCTTTAAATTTTTATAAGCAAATATTAATAATTACTCTCATTCAATTTTTGGCAAATATTACTGTGAATATCTCCTGCACTGAATTATAGGATAGTCTTTCTTGAAGCACTGGCTTCCAAACAAGTTGAAATAAAGATGGCCCACATCATTCGAGGCATCAGTGTTGTCATTCTCCAAACACATTTTGAACTTAGCATCACAGTCGCAATGAACCCTAAATTTAATACTGGTAAATTTAGTGACACTTTGGTGAAATCAATACTTTGTGTACGGAGCAGTGTTTTTCAGTCCGTATTTAGTCTTTCCCGCTGAAATGTAATCTGGACAGTAATCGTGGTCTCTGCAGCACATATCAGTTTTCTCGTAAAGGCCCAAGTCGCCGTAATGCGTCGCTACATTTCCTTGTCCGCACCACTTTGTTCCTTTTTGTTCAGATTTTGTACAAATTTTAGTAAAAATAATAGATTTCTTACCTGGATAAATTAATTTCCTGATGGTCCTGTCCTCATCGATGGGCCTTCGGCCATCAATTTCTTTTGACTTGTCTGCTGGATTACCTGGTATCTCTGTTTCAGTTTCAAAAGGTTCACGAGGGTTTTCAAAAAAAGGCCTCTTGCTGCATGAAATTATTTGAAACGTAATCATAGGAAATAAAATCGTGGACACTAATGACCACATTGTGCTATAGTTTCCAAGTGCACACTGAATAAACGTTTTGCTTACCTTCCGATTTTAAATGTTTGCAAGGAAGGCCACTTTCGACAAAAAGTATAATAGGCAATAGCACATGCATGCGTATCACTTTGCACATTGTTTATCACGGCGCGGGTAGCTCATAAATATTCACAATTGATCTTTGTCAAAGTCAAACTCGTCATGAATAATATATTAATTTGGAGGCTGAATATACTTTATTAGCACTCATTATAAAAACTCGCTCAAGTTTATGGGCATATATAATGCAATTAATTTATTGCTTCAATTTATTGCCTAGCTTCACTATTTATTTTATTAAGACTTCAATTAAAATTTAATAAAAGCAATTCTCAGAATGAGTTGATCTCTTCTTGTTATTAATTTATAAATTATTCCGTAGTTAATTCCAATGTATACAAATTATTTAAATTATTATCTTAATCGCTATTGCAAATAAATATAATTAATTATTTTAAATTACCTAAATTACCGTAAATTACGTCTCTTTATTTGATAGTCCTTGAAATTCTATTTTCGCGCCCTAAGAATTTAAACTGCGTGCAGCCCCTAAATGACCGCCCCACTCTTTTCTGCGCGATGTCCGAAAAATTTATTTTGGTTCATCACCAAAGCGATTGTTGTCGAGAGAAGAGAGAATTCAAATTGGCAGATAGTGAGGCAAGTAAAATCGCATTTTAGTGACATTGCAGCTTTTAACAAATTCTGTCGCAGGTTAAATTATGACCACATTTCGCTTGACACTCTTTCGGTGGCCAAATTGATCTCGCTTTTCAGTGAAGGCTGACCACAGGCAGCAAAAAACGAAAACTCGTCGAGCAGCAAAAGCAGCATGGAGGAAGAAATGGAAATTTGCTCCAACTGGTGCGGTCACAAACATAAAGAGATTTTCCTCCTTTATTTGTCTGACGAAACTTTGGAATTTCAGCAAGCGTGAGATCAGGAGTGTTAATTACGTGACACACTCGGTGCACTGCCACCGCAATATCGTCGTATGCAACAAGTGCAACGAGCCGGTGCCTCGGGCAGAGCTCGCCGAGCACGATGCAAACGAGCATAGGCTCAAGTCGTGCAGGGACTGTGGGGCGCAGGTGGAGAAGGCCCTCATGCAGAAACATGTGGTATAAAACTTGATACGTTTTACAATACATGTCGTTTGCCCTCTTTTTATTCAAATTAAACGCTGCCCCCTGAGAATACGCACGCGATTTTTTTGCCTTAAGTTTTTGTCTGACCTTTGCGGTTTATATTTTTGTTTATTCTACAGAAGGAAGACTGCTCTCACAGGAAAGTAGTGTGCACATTCTGCGAAATCGAGCTGCCGTCCAAGGAGTTGGCTGACCACGAAAGCTACTGCGGCACCAGAACCGAGAAATGTGCACAATGCGGCGAATTTGTGATGATCAAGTACCAAGCTCTCCACTTGGACAGTAACCATGGCTTCCTGAAACTTGAAGACGGTTAAATAGATTTTAATCAATCCACACACAAAATATTTATGCATATTTATGTTTTTCTGATGCAGAACCTGGACCACCTCCTAGCTGGGAGGTCCCTGCAAAGCCTCCGACAAAGATTGAACCAAGCCGTCCAATCCTCAAAAGTGCCATCCGTCCAGCAAGCTCTCTCCTAGCTGCTAGTGCCAAGAAGTCTGTTCCTAACACTGTGAGATTTGCACCTGTTGAGAAGTCACCTCCCCCTGCTGCTCCTGAACCTACTGTTGAGGAACGCCAAACAAAATTTGGCACCAACAAAATAGGGGCAGAGGTCAAACCAATAGTCTGTAAAGCTGCTGAAACTGTGCTGGAAACAGAGAAAAAAACAGTTCCTATCTATGATGAAGAGGCTGATCGCCTCCTTGCCTTCAAACTAGCACAAGATGAGATGGAAGTAGGGATATTTTTTGTTTAATTCATGACTTTTATTCAAATTTCTGTAGATGATGAGCAAATACCAACTGGATGGAATATTAGAACAGAGAAGAAAAATTGTTGATCAAACTTCCGAGAAGAAAAGCTGTGTTCCTGAAAAGCGTACACGAACATCTCCTGTGAATTTTGTCCTACCTGCTGCTATTGAAAACATGGGTGCCGTTGGTGGCAAACCTAAAGAGCCAGTCACTAAACAAAAGAACCCAGACTCGACTGATTCCGAGAAAGCCACCACTCTTGTTAGCTCCAAACAGGAAACATACAAGCCCCCTGAGCAAGCTGGAGACTTCGAGGATGTCCAGATTCCTTGTGAATTTTGCGAAATTCTTGTCCCTGCTAGTCGCCTTTTGATCCACCAGGTATATTTCTGCATTGCGTATTATATTTATTGTGTTTTAAGTGTAATGTCCTGATGTGATAGACTGGTTGTCGTCCTGACCTTGCATGCTACATACCCTACAAATACAACAAAATCAAGATTGCTCAGCCAGAACAGGACCACGAAAACCAAAACAACATTTCTGAAGCTGCAAAAGCACCAAATCGAACAAAGACTATTATCCCCTGTGATCTTTGCAATGCCAATATCCCACCTGAGAAATTCATTCAACACCAGGTTAATATTTCTAAGACACAAAACATTTTCTTGCTAATATTGAAATTATTAATTTCTTCAGTTAGCTTGTGAAATAAAGCACCTCCCTGTTCGAGCTGACAAGCCTAAAGCACTGGTGATGCCTCTCTCTGGACGTACTCTTCGTGCCTCTCATTCAATCGAAGAGTCCATTCTTCCAGCCCTGGAAACTCTTGAGAAAGAAGTTAGTTTGAAGCCTGGTTTGCGGAACTGCATGTCAGCTGGTAACTTCAAAGACTTCAGGTATTTCAAATATCTTCATTTATTAATTTGTTTTGATAAAAAATCTGTAACTAAAGCGACCCTTCTTCTTCATCTGGGAGCCACAGCAATGATGGTCCTTGTGATTCAGATGAGAGAGCTAAACAGGGAGCTGTTCCAAAGCAGAAGGCAAGGCGTGATAGATCTCGAGTTAAATCCCCAATCCAACCTCCTACCCGTTATTACTAACACTCTAATTAACTGCTCTTGTATCAATAACAGTAAGTCCCTACGTAGGCTTGCATGAAACGAGTTAATATTTACAGTTTGTTTGTATTTGCAGCCAAAATCCATTAAGAAGTACAGAGCTCCACAACCACCGCAACTTGATAAAGTTTAGGCGCCATGGTGAGAGTTTCAACGACCTCTCCGCTCAACGTTAGATTTGTGCTTCAGGTATTATTTTAAGAACTCGCCCAACCCACAACAATAATGTGCTTGATTTCTGGCTAAATTTTTCTATATTAAGAGGAAATTTATATTGAGAGGCTCTCACAAAAAAAAAGTTTTTTAATTCCATTTGAAACTGTTCACTATTCGGTTTAATATAATTTGGTAGTCTTCTTACATAGGATTGTTAAAAATTTTTTGACTTTGGCTTTGCAGTGGTAAAAATTATAGTAATTTAAACAAGAAAGTATGAACAACATATCTTGACTGATTCCTGCAATCAAGCATAAGACGAAAATTAGAGCATAAATTTATGCTAGTGTAAAATTTCCATTATTGCGTAGATTGGTTAACTATGCTCTTTTCAGTCCAATTGAGTGTGGTGTAATCTATGGTGTCTTTGGACAAAGCTGTTTCTGTAAAACACTGCTGAGCAGACGCCACACCCATAGAGAGGCCGCATCAATGCCTTGACTTTGTTATGCTTCCGTTTCACATGTGCCACCAGATCGCAGTCAGATTCAAAGAAAACGTCGCAAGAACCACACCTAGAATTTGTGATCATTAAAAAACTGGTCTATATTTGGCATCTAAAAAAATAACGTACCTAAAGTCTCCGTGTGTTTGTCTGGAGGGAGCGATTGGCGTGCTGCACGTGAACGGAGTTTTTTTCCTGCTGGGCCCGAAGCACGAGGTTTTTACAGGCGTATCTTCGATAAAAGTGTGAATGGGCTCATCTCCATGGTCGTCATCGGAAGACGCTGCGGGTTGTTGAACCAAGTACTGCTGTAACTCTGAAATGTGTACCTCATCAACATGGTGACTCAGAAGGTCTCCAAACGCAGCAAGAACCTAAAATAAGATTTTTTTTTTTTAATTTTTTAAGTAATAATATTTTTGGTACAATTAACCTTATAATCACAGAAAGGACAGGCTAGTTTTTGATCAGGGGCGGTTCGCCCACGAAAAAGACGTCCAAGTTCTGCACTGTGTTCCTGCAAAAGGTGCGGAGGCAGCAACTCCTGCTCGAAGAATCTAGCAGGACACAGAGGACAGCAGCGCATTCTTAGTACATCGAGGCGCTGGAGGCGGCTCAGTTGGGTTGCGTGCTGCCCCCGAAGATGTGCCTCCAGTTGGTCTGCATCATTAAAGGACTCGGGACAGAAGTGGCAGAAGCGGGGCTGACTGGGTTCTGCTTCTGGAGGGAGCTTCAGAGCCTCCAGCATGAGAGAGGCTTCTGCGTTGTCCGGAGCAGCGTAAATAGTTTCCTGGCTGCTGCTGGCGAAAAGGTCATCCACACAAGCCATTGCAAGAAATCCTAATGAGACGATAAAAGGTTCTATATTCTTCTCCGAATAACGCTAAAATTAAATGAACAGTTCTTATTTATTTTTTATTTTCAAAAAGAAAATTAATTTTTTGCTCTTCAAAAGTTAGATTAATCTTGGAATTACAATATTTCATGGAAACTTTTGTCTTTAAAAGAGTAAATTATTTTTTTAAGGGCTGTAAAATATTATTATTTTTTTTTCAGATTTAACAGCGGTAAATAAAAATGTAGATTCCTAATTCCTAGAGAGGCCATAAAGTTGAAACAGCAATAACAACAGCTAATAAAAAAATTTGTCTGGCAGTAATAAAGTATTTTCGCAGCGTTTAGTTAAATATTTTGCATGCTGCCTCTGGGTTCTGGGTCCTCTATTTTTTCTATTAAACCTCTCAAATTATTGAAGCCCATAAAAGGCGAGATAATTATAGTGGTCCAGAAAGAATGCAAATTACTATAACTTTCTGAGAAAATTCATAGAATTACAATAATTTATTTATGTCATTAAATTTTGCCGGAGGCCACAACTTTTTAGTGAGCACACACCTGACCGTTGAAGTTAATTCAAATGTATGAATATAGGGCCGTTTCCTTGGGGGGAAAACAAATATTTAATAACTATGAACTTACCTAGTTTTTGATCGATTGCAGGTTATTTTTCTCAAGGCGCATCGGTGGAATAAAAAACACTGACCTGCTCGCTTGTGCGTGTGCAACAAGCTGAATAAAGAAAATTCATCCCACTTTCGAAAGCAGCATTTAAAAAAAGTTGTCCCCCCATTTATGGAACCAACGGCCACTTGCTCAGCCCGTAAGCTCTATTTGGGAGGGACTGAATTTAATTGAGACTCGTGCGGGACAAAAAAAAATGCCAAATTATTTTGCATAATGGTGCCTGGAGTAATTTTTTGCCTTTCTAATATTCCAGTGTGACACCTGGTCTACTTTTATTTATACATTTTGATTATGATTATTGAATTGCGTGTCCTGCAAGAAGCCTCCGTGGCAGGCTGCAGAACACAAAAGGATCTGCCAAACTTTGGCACCATCGCACACGGAGCTTTAATTGTGTGTGGGTGGAAAGAGGGAAGTCGATGGATGTTCTCACAATAAACACACGAGCTTGAAAATTACAATTTCTATAAAGCCTTTTAGGGTGTAGGTGTTGATCATCAAATAAAATATATGAATGATAAATAAGCATTAAAAATGTGAAGTCTGTGTATCCTATATTAGAATTTTTCTCCCTTAATAAACTTCATAGACAAATTTGTCTTATCTATTAATAACAGATTAATAATATTTCAGAAAAATAATAAGTATTAATTAGTATCAAATGAAACGATAAATTTTTGGAAAACAATTCTTTTGACTGAGCTTTGCAATAATACTTTTCACTTGCATGGGACAGCTAGACTAGAGATGTTTGCTTCAACAAGTTAAATTAAATCTCATCTCGGCCTGTATGGCTTCGTTACAATGAATCACAAAAAAAGCAATTTTATATTGTTGGTTCGTGTAGGAGCACATATTCCAATTTGAAATTTTTAGTCGACCAAATAGAAAAGGTTTAGTTTTCAAGATAAGTTGAAAAAAAACAACGAATTGTCCACTCTTTTTTTAACATGGCTCAAAATCTCCTGCATAGAGCATTTTTCTTAAAATATTAAAGAAAAAAATAAACAAGAAATGACTGGAAGGGCTTTATTTTGTGGAGATAAAATTGATTAAAATAAAAATTACTATACAGATGAACCTTATTTTTTAGTACTTGGCTTGGCTCCAATTTGCCAAATTAAAAACATGAAAAATGGTTTGACATATGATCACAATAAAAATTTTTGAAGCTTATTTAACTAGGGTTTTTTTTATTTTTTTTCTGTAACACATAAATAACATGGCCTTCTTGCAAGCAACTCGATCAATCGATTGACAATTTTACCATCATTTGCAGGCTGGAGGAAAACTATACAAAGGAGCTAGGTGTGCATGTATAGATGGAAATCTTGGAGAGTTTCTACTGCTCATACTTGTCCTTAATATGCTTCCAAAGTTTCTGGAAAAACACAGGAAAATTAAGAAAAATATAACAAATTAGCAGGTTTATTGCGGGTGCATGAGAATATTTTTTGCTGTTGCAGGAAGGACATAAAACTTACCCCCTGGTTGATGTTATCGTAAAGTGTGTCGGACAAGATTTCAAAGGACCGCTCGAAGAAGAACGTGCCGCCGATGATGGTTAATGCAAAGGTTGACGTTCTCTTAAATAGAGCATTGTACAAGAATCCTCCGACTCCGGCCATTTTTGATCAAGTCAAAAAAATTAGGTGAAAAGAAGATGCCAACCGAACAAAATTATTCAGCTTAAACAAATAACAAATCTCGCCAACTTAATAAAATTAAATTAAATACCAAAACAAAACAAAATGTGTTTTCTAGGGATTGTGGAAATATAATTCTACTATCCCAAGCGTTTTCATTTTCTTTCACCCGTCAACACATTAATGTATGTATTATTTAACTCTCTTGACTCATGACTCTTGTTTTTGACCAGCATAATATCTTCAGGACACACATCAGAACAAAAATGAGCAAAAAGCAGGCAGTACCATTATTAAGGAGCATGTACATGATGATTTTATTTTATTACCTAAATGGCTTTTCAGATTTTAAAATCCTTAATATTTTACATACATAGCTTTATACTTTTAATTAATGATTGTTGTTGGACTCTTTTGTTTGTTAAATTAGAATTAAAATTTCTAATGTTAATTTAAGAGATCGGGCTTTTCCTCGTTTTCCATGATCATCTCCTCCAGTGTCACCTTCTTCAAACAAATTTCTAATGAAACAAAATTTCAGTGGCAGTCTGTGGTGCCACATTATTGCTGAGCACAAGGCCGCGCACCTCAAGATCGGCCATCATTTCTGTCATCTTCGACTTCACGAGCTCATGCCCTTCACGCCCAAGGTCTTCGACGCCATGAAGTCTGAGTTCTGGACAAAGTGAGTCTTTATTTTAGTCACAAATTTATCTGTTTTTTTCCTTACTAACTAATTTTCATAAACTAACCTTCTACAATTTTCTTTCTGAGTGTCTCTGAGCAAGGAAGTAATTAAAATTTATTTGCAACTCAAAGTACTTTTATAATAAGGCTGGTTTTGTAATTTAAAGCTATTTTTAAATTATGAATGATAACATTTTCTCGTTATGAATGAATAAGCTAAATGCGTTAAAAAAATTAAATCTTTTGCTCTAGATCAGATTTAGTCCAACTTTTATATCAAATGCTTTCACTGCCACAACTTTTTTACAGCTTACTTATTTTGTATTCCTACGCGGAAACATCAAAATTGAGTTTTTTTTAGAAATAAAGATAATTTTACTATAGTTTTTATTTTTACTATTAATTGCTGATTATATTCACAAGTTTTTTTTACATATGTATGTATAAACCTTTAAAAGTTTAACTGGTACGATTCTTTGACTAAAACAAAATTTACTTTTCTTAGACTTTTGGACCATTCGAATCATAACAAGTTGAAAGCGGCTAATCCTGACAGAGAAGAAAGAGGTCCCCAGCCAGACTAGGGGTTGAATCCTGACAGCTTGAGGAGTCCTCAGATGCGTTCGCCACCTGAATATCGTCTCTAGGTCTCAACAACCTGATTCAATCCGCAGGTAAGAAAGGACAAGCCTTCAAACTCAAGCATCTTCCTTGCCTTGACAATGAGTTCCTTGAAGTGTGGCTGTTGCTGCCCCTTGCATTATCTGAAACCACTTTTCCAACTTTATCCGGTGCCCCATCCCCCAAAGTGCCTCTCCTTTTTTCGCTACTTAGTCAAATAAGATACTAAAACAAAACAACTTTTCCATTGTTTAAAGCATTTTAATGATTTTTGGAATAATTTGATAATTTGTCATAAAACCTGCGCAATCATTAAAATTACAAGACTCATAATAAATTAATAATTTTGAAATAAATAATATATAGATCAATTACTAAAATGTTTTAGATTTAAAAACTTCTGCTAACACTATTATTTTTTATAGAAAATCTGAACATTTTGGCCGCACTGAAACAGAAAGCGTTTTTGATCATCACATGCCAAGAAAAGTGTCAGACTGCCACCTCAGCAGGAGCACCGTCAACGACCAGTCGGCCAATTAAGTTTGTGTGCGGGTAAGACACAGCCCTCTTTATCACACCCTTTTGCGCCCAGTAAATTTAATAGCTAGCTTTAAAAAATGTCTTAATTATAAAACTTTACAAACATTTTTTTTTTTTCAAGAATAGTTAAAAAGAGCAATCATTATTACAATTAGATAAAAGCAGTTTTTGGTCCATTACTATCACAAACAAAAAAAAAGCAAAGGATCTGTGAATTAAAAGCAAGCTTTAAACGCTTGTATCTCGAATAAAAATCAAGCTGTCAACAACGCCTTTTTTGTTTGTTGCGCTGCCTTCCTTTCCCTCGACGGATTGCAATTTTGAGGGGTGATTGCAGTCGGCAAATTTTAAATCCTTGCTGTTGAGACTTTTGGGAATCAACAAAAGCACAATGTGGCTGGAATTGTCAGTACGATATCTAAACAGAACAGCATAGCATCTGTACTGAACATTTGCCACTTTCATTTGATGAGCAAAATGTTTAGTCTGGAAGTTTTGGATTAATTAATTTTTAATTAGGTTTCAAAATTTTTTATGTTACCTTTAAAACTTTGCTCATGGCAATGGTGGTCTTTTTTTCCAGGTTTGCCTTCTCGCGCTCCAAAATAACCATGAAGGCTTCAGTGCTCAATCTGTACTGGGCCTTCTTTTTACCTAGGCAGCAGAGATTCTAAGTGTGATTTATGCAGGTGTTAGTTATTTTTTATACTCAAAAGTAAATTAGATTTTAATCTTACGTATGTTTTGAGAGCAATTGTTTTTTCCTCTGGCATCACCCCTCTTTTAAGGCACTCCAAGTACGCCCTCTTGGGCAAAAATTTAATTTTGTCGCAACTCCAAGTTCCACACGCCAGGCAAAAGAGTTTTCTTTGGCCACTGCTCAGGCACAGCCTTTCTAGCACGGGCTCGACGTGTGAAGAGAAACTTCCTGGCCTCTTCTGGTAATGCCTATTTGTAAATAGGAGTGAATTAATTATTTGTTTCCGTGAATCAAGCTTACGCTAATGATATTATGTTAAAAAAATATGACAAGACTTACATGTCCTGGACAATCTTCGTTGCTAAATAAATCATGTCCTCAGTTACACTTTCTTTGTTCATTATGGCCAAGGCCAGGAACTTCTTCAATTCCTCAGGGCTTTCAGGGCTCAGCAGAGCTTTTGCAGCTTGTTCGAGGCCCTTAAATTTAGAATTTTTAATGGAGATAACCATAAGTTAGACAAAAATCTGGAAACCCACCTCTCTGCATAAAAGTACCAAGATATTCAAATGGGCTGCATAGCAGCAATACCCTTCAATGGTGATGGTCTTGCCTGTTTCATCACGAATTTGATTTTTGTTGTTGACAAGAACCATTTTGCCCAACGGAGTAATGAACTCTGGAAAAATTAAATTTAAATAAGGAGGATTCTGGGTTCCAATGAAATTTAAAAGAAACAAGAAATAATTTTTAGCAATATTGTCAGCAGAAACACTATCAAAACTTACCATATTTTAGTTGAAACGGCGCTCGAGGAAATGTGACAGGAGGTTCTGGAAGTTTTTTTTTTTTAATTTTAAGCAATAGAAGTAGAATAATATTATATTTGATGAGAGTAAAAAAGATGGTTTTCTTATTGAGGGCTATCTATAGTTAAAAAAATTGTGTTTTTGTCTCTAAAATTACATTAATACACATCAACTGAGATCGAAAAGCCTCCTCTGATTTACATGAACTCAATTTTTGTACCCTGCAATGATTAGTTGAAAAATTAAATCCATTAACAGGTGCAGAACAGGTGGAAATGACAAAACGATGTTTACAATTTTATGTAATTCTATTGTGTTTTACAATAAGTAGTTTTTCTGTTTTGATTATTTTGCATCCCATGCAGGAACTTGATTTTTTTTTCGATTTCTAAAGGATAATAACATAATTTACCTGAGCCCAGCATCCACGGCACAAATTTCAGCTTCAAGGTTCGGAGCTCTTCCTTCACCTTAACTCTCCCGAAAAGAGGAACTTCTGGCTCCAAATTAATCGGCGCTTTTTTCATTTGCTTCTCTTTCATCTGAAAGTGAAAAGGAAAAGCCCACAAATTGATGATAACTTAAATAATTTAAATGTACCATTTTATTTTCATGGTACTTTTATAAATTTATAAAATTCATTTTTTTATTTTTTATTATTTTAATTAAATTATCTTCAATTCAAATTATAAAAACGGTTCAAATTTATTTGACCGGATTTGATACTTAATTAATAATAGTTTTTTATGGTTTTTTATTAAATACAATCAGTTAAATTTCTCTCACATGCTTGGGCTCTGCTTCCTCCTGTGCCAAGAGATCATCCTGAAACTGCAAGGGCAAAATAAAAAATATAATCAAACAGTTTTTTTTTAATGTTGTCATTTTTTTTTATTATTCATTTGTTTGCTTTCTAATTAGCTTAATTAATTTAATTTTTCAATTTACCTGCACAGGTTCTTGCTGCCCTTGAGCTTTAGACCTGGAGCTGGTCTGAAAAAAAATTGAGAAACATTAAGTTTTTTTGTGCACCAATCAATTTGGTCTTTAAATAATATATGATATATAAAAATTGAATTCAACTTACAAGCTTAATCAATTTAATTTTTCAATTTACCTGCACAGGTTCTTGCTGCCCTTGAGCTTTAGACCTGGAGCGCGTCTGAAAAAAAATTGAGAAAACGTCATTAATTGGGTGACATTAAGTTTTTTTGTGCACAAATCAATTTAAATAATATGATATGAAAAATTGAATGCAACTTACAAGGGGTGGTTCAGGTCTTCCTGCTCCGCTTGATTTTGAGGACTGCAAATTAATGGAGACAAGGTTAATTAAACTATATTTATAACAACAATTTTAAATATTTATTCTTTTAAAAGCACTGAGCATATGATTAAAAATTTAACTAATTATAATATTATATAAACAGATGGAATGCTCAAATTCGAGAAATAGGCTTTCAAGAAATAATAAGGAGTTTGCGGCCTGAATGATGCACTGAGACCACTGAGTGACGCTTCTCATAGAAATATATTCAAGTCTCAAAATATTTGTGCATTTGCAACAGGCAGACATAGGTACAAAAATTTGCCGGCAATTGGTGTAATGTTTTTTTACAATTAGCTCATCAATTGAATTAGCGCAAGAGAAATAAAATTTAATATAATCAAGAACGAAATCCTTAATGTTTGCAAGTAGAAATTTTTGAAAATTAAGTATTATTGGAAATCTCTCACCTTTATTGTTTGGTTTTCCATCACAGTGAAGCCTTAACTTAGGGGGATAAAATTAAATTAAAACGCTCAAAATAAAAACCAACGCACTCACTAAATCGTTTGATGGTCTACACAGATGAAAACATTCAGCAGCGATAAACAAAGAAAAATTTTACAACGACTCAAATTGCAGGCGCGGTTTTTCAATTATTTTTGACTAAAAATAAATTTTCACCTAGTCAACTTCAAATTTTATTTTTTTATTAAGAACATTGCACTTGTTTCGTTTTAATAAGTTTGACAAACTGGCAGCGCTGGTAAGAGAGGAATTCTGTCTTTCTAAACAGGAACGAAGGAGCTCTCACACTTTTTGGCATGTGATGAATTTCTTCTCTTCGAGGCCGCATCTCTTGGCTGCATTTTTGACACAAGAGAAGCAAATAAAATTGGAGATTATATTTATTCGCATCGCCTGTGCGTCACTTTATAAATTACTCAAAAATTTTAAACTAAAAATAAAAATCAATTAGGTAAATGAAAGCCCCCCTAATGTTTGATTCTTTCTGTTTTCACATACCGCATACCCCGCTCAAAGTTGAAGATATGAGATTTACACCACTACGGAACATTTTGGAAAAACTAAAAAAAAAAGTGATTATCTCAGCTTTTATTTTATTTAAGGTCGCACGGCTCGGCTAGCCGAGCCAGCCGCTGACTATTTTTCAATAATTTTTTTCTTGCCTCAGGAATTTTTATTTTGAAAATCTGAGGTGACTATAGATAAAATCCACCTCTTTTCTAATTAATAAAATCGTTTCAATGAAAAAACGGAAAAAACGTTATCTAATAAAAATGTCAGCCAGCCGTCAGCCGCTGCGGTACATATCAAGCCGCCGCCGTTTATAAACTTGGCTCAGCCAAAGCCAGCCAAAGCCTAAAAATCGCGCGGCTGAGGTTTCTATTTTTATTGCATCTGATTTTCCTGCATCACTATGGTTTTAATGCGATTGCCGCTGCTTTCTGCGCTGTTGCTGCTCTCTGCTGGGCTGGACGGCTGCTTTGCGCTTCTTTACCTTTTTTATGCCTTTTTAAACAAATGTGCGCTTTTTTGCTTGCAAAAATAACAATCCGTCAAATTAATCATTTCCAATACTCCAAGTCAGAAAAAAAATACAATTAATTATCAATTCTGATTTCTGCTAGAAAAAAAACCAATAAGTCCTATATCCAAGATTTTGTCTTTTTTTCATTTCATTATATTTTCCGTATATTTTGATCGCAAATGTTCAATTTCGAGTTTGTACTTGGGCAATTAACTGGCAGTTTTTATTGATCCTGTGACTTTTTTAGCATTTCCTGAGATGATTCCTGACTACCCATACCCATGACCTGCAAGGAATATTATTTGGAATATTTGGTCTGTGTTTATCGTGTTTATTTTGATCGCAAGCTAAGGTTTGTGTCTTTTCTACCATAAAATTTTGAAACCAATCTGCCACGGCGGTATCTAAGGAAAAGCCTATCACTGTTGATTCAAGTTTAAAACTAAATATTTCGGGTTTTGAGACACACAACATAAGAGTCCTGTATAATTATATTTATTCTATATATCAATAAATATCCCTGGCGGCCTAGCGAACCATTTTCGCGCGTCAACTGATTTGGGTAATGGAGGGGGAACCGTTTGGACCACTCAGGACTCAGGGGGGGGGGGGGTACCGACGAGAGGAGGGTCGAGCCGCCGGCAGTCGCTACTGTCTTGTATTTGTTAGAGATGTATTTGTTATTTGGCAACTCTTAGCAGCACCTAACGTAAACAAAGCCTTGGTTACGGGGTCAGGTCACTAAGATCAGCGTTGACCGTTTATATAGACACAACGATGGGTCGACGTGCCAAGGTTGCTGTGTGCACCCTGAACCAGTGGGCGCTGGACTTTGAGGGCAATGCCAAAAGGATCATTCGAAGCATCGAAGAGGCCAAACTGAGCGGCGCCCGGCTCAGGAGCGGCCCTGAGTTGGAAATTTGGTCTGAATTCTGTTTGAATTTGCAGTTAGAACTTAACTAATTGCCATTTCATTCTCATGCAGTGGGTACAGTTGTGAGGACCACTTTTATGAGAGCGACACCCTTCTGCACTCATGGGAGGTCTTGATCAACCTGATTGAGCACCCTTCGGCTCAGGACATCATCGTCGACGTGGGGATGCCGGTCATGCACAAGAATGTCACTTACAATTGCAGGGTCATCTTCTTTAACAGGTTTCGTAACATTGCTTAAATTTCAGAAAGTTAGACTTTTACATTTGCAATTAATAAAACAAACACCATATAATCATTTTAAAACGATTTTTTTTTTTAAAATTTAAAATGGAATTAATCTTCTATTTTAATATGCAGCAACTACAATAATTATATTAGTTTTCACATTTTACAGGAAAGTCTTGTTGATTCGACCAAAAATGATGATGTGTGATGATGGAAACTACAGAGAGTCCCGCTGGTTCACGCCGTGGAAGAAGGTATTATAAATTAATAATAAAAATTCTACTATAAAAAAATTCCAACAGATTCGGGAGGTCGAGGAATTTTATTTGCCTCGAATGATCCGGCAGGTTACTGGCCAAGAAACAGTCTTGTTTGGAGATGCAGTCATTTCAACCAGAGACACTTGCATTGGCTTTGAAATTTGTGAGGAGCTGTGGAATCCAATGAGGTCAGGCTAATTTTTATTTTGAATTTTACAATTACATTATAATTAAAATCAACAGTTCTCACATTCCGATGGGATTGGATGGAGTTGAGATTTTTGTCAACAGCTCAGGGTCGTACATGGAGCTGCGCAAAGCCTATGTTGCTGTGGACCTGATCACCATGGCCAGTTTGAAAAGTGGAGGGTGCTACATGTTCAGCAACTTGAGGGGTTGCGATGGCCAGAGGGTCTATTTCAACGGCTGCTCCTGTGTTGCTCTAAATGGAGGGATCATCTCCAGGGGTGCCCAGTACGACTTAAGAGATATTGTGAGTTATTTGGGAAAAATGTTGATACTGAAAATTTATACTATCTTTTAGGAAGTAGTGGCGGCCACGGTAGATTTGGAGGACATACGCACCTACCGCAATTCTCTGAGATCAAGATGCCAGGTGGCAGCCGGCAGCCCTTCCTACCCCAGGGTAAAAGTTGACTTTTCCCTTTCGTCTGATGATGCCTTAGGATTGACAGTCCCCACCTGCAAAACCATTACCTGGGAGTACCACCCTGCCGAGGAGGAAATTGCTTTGGGCCCTGCCTGCTGGCTATGGGATTATCTCAGGTAAATAGTATTTTTATTTAGTACAATTAGAAGGAAATAAATTTCAATTTGGCATAATAATCCCCTATTGTACTTTCCGAGTTCATTTTTTTTTTTTTTTATTAAAAAATCATTTTATTCTAAGACAAAAGTGCAGATTATTTGTAATTTTTACCTTCTCCTTTTTTTTTAAATGTCCTTTGAAATTTTTGTTTCTTAAATAGGCGCTCTGGTCAGGGTGGATACTTCCTGCCCTTGAGTGGCGGAGTCGATTCTGCCAGTACAGCTTGCATTGTGCACTCCATGTGCCGTTTGGTTGTGAATTACGTTCTCAGAGGAGGTATATTTATTTTTGATTCAATTAAAATTTTTGAACTGATTTAAAATTTCCGTTCTTTTATAAATAGACACTCAAGTTTTGAGCGATGTTAGAGCTTTGGTGTCTGACCAGTCATACACACCAACTGACCCTAAGGAGTTGTGCAGCAGGATTTTCTTCACTTGCTATATGGCTACTGAAAATTCTTCAGAAGACACAAAAAACAGGGCCGCTACGCTGGCAGAGCAGATTGGAAGGTAATATAATCCGCAATATGAAATGGAAAAAATTACAAAAATTACTGACACAATATTCCAGCTACCATTTTGACATTAACTTTATGAGTGTGGTCAACGCTGTCCTGTTTGTCTTCAAAAGTGTCACAGGCAAAACTCCTTTTTACTCTGTCCAAGGTGGAACTCCGAGAGAGAACTTGGCTTTGCAAAATATTCAGGTTTTGAATTTATTGAAAATTTATTGAGATTACATTAAACTAATTCCAATGTTCAGGCTCGACTTCGAATGGTTATGGCTTACTTGTTTGCCCAGCTGATGTTGTGGGTGAAGGGTCGACCGGGAGGATTGCTGGTGCTCGGCTCTGCCAACGTTGATGAGGCTCTGCGAGGATACATGACCAAGTATGACTGTTCGAGTGCGGACATCAATCCAATTGGAGGCATCTCAAAAGGCGATTTGAGGGGCTTTTTACACTACGCCAGGAGAAAGTAATTTTATTACCCACACTTTTATTTGTCATTTTGACTTTTGTTATCAGTTTTGATTTGCCAATTTTGGAGGAAATCGTTGGTGCTCCTCCCACTGCAGAACTCGAGCCTTTGGTTGGAAAGAAGATTGCCCAGACCGATGAGCAGGACATGGGCATGACCTACGATGAGCTTGGTCAGTACGGGCGGCTGAGGAAGCAGCTGCACTGCGGACCGTTTTCCATGTTCTGTAAACTGACCCAAACCTGGAGCAAGGATTGCACTCCGGAAGAGGTGGCAGCCAAGGTGAAGCACTTTTACCGCTGCTACGCCATCAACAGGCACAAGATGACTGTCCTGACTCCATCCTATCATGCTGAAACCTACTCTCCAGATGACAATCGATTCGACCTGCGACCCTTCCTGTACAACAACAAGTGGACCTGGCAGTTCCGAGCAATTGATAATCAAGTAGGTTTTTGTTTTCTTCAAAATCTTGGAGGTGTAATATTAATTTTTTTTTAACCAGTTAAAGGAGTTGAGACTGTTATCTACTGGAGGGGAGTCAAGCAAGAAGGAGTCTGGAGCAGTTCGCAAATATTCTACCATGTCTCGTGAGAGTTCAGGTGAAAAGGAGGGGTCAACGTCTGCTTCAAGTTAGTAACCCACAAGGTGAAGGATGGTTGTGTGTTGGCATGGCATGCAATGTCACATTTGTGAAAGCAATTAAAAATTCAGTGGTATATTCACGTTTTATGCTATTTTCAAAACTTTTGTGTTAAATGTTTTAACACCTTCATGACCTGATGCTCAAGAATTTGATTTGATTTTTTTTTAATACATCTTACTCACGCACTAGCTCTAACAAATTTTAAATAACTGCACCTATAATTTTTCATTTGAATTCACCTTCCATTATTGCTTTTCGCTAACTGGCACTGTCATGTCTGATTAAAATAGATGAACTTGAGCAATATTGACTATTTTATTTTTATTTTTTACAGGTGGTCCATTTGGGATGGTGACTTCAAATCGTCCAGGTGGCGTAGAAGTTTGATTTATGTGGAGAGTGGCAGAGAGAGGAGGGTCATCACAAAAAGCAACTGACTTCTAGAGTTTTGCACAATCAGGTTTCCTTACTTTAAAAGTCTGTTTAAATTACCACAGAAAATATTATGAATCAAATAATTGATTAATCCAGAGTTCCTTATAATTTTGCACAAAATAATAATCAAAAAATGGGAAAAATAACGATATTTTATTTAAAACAAACCAGGAATCAGTCTGTAAGGGACTTTCTTGCAATATTCATCCCAGTACTTCCCATATTTCTTTCTGCACTTGTCTTCATCTCTTAAAATTCTGTGGGGAATCAGTGCAGCTATGAAGTAGAAATAAAGCAAAGGGAAAATCCAGCTTTGCCCAAATGCCGCAGTGACGCAGCACATCAAAGCGCAAACCAGCTCGCAAGTGTAATTTAAGTGGCGGGCTTTACCCCAATACCCTGAGGTCAAAAGGGCAGACTTCATTGGCACACCTTTGTGGTCAGTATAGAACACTTCGAGAAACTCAACTTGCTTTCCCCACAACTGATAGGGCTTAGCTTTCCTCTTGATGAAGTTTTGCCTCCAAGCAACGAAAATTTCCTTTTCTCGGTCTATTAGGTATTCGAGAGCCGTTGCCAAAGCTCCAATCACGAACACAAGAGCAGCGCCAAAAGATGAAAGGGTTGAATAATTGTGGGCCATGTACATCTGGCTGAGAGGGAAAAGGGCTGGGATCCAAACACAGCCTCCCCAGCAGAGGTAGTAGCCAGCTCGGTCGTAGGTGATGTCCAAAGTTGTGTAGTAGCCGTTTTCCCACCTTTGTAGTTAATTTGATTTAATTTTTTTGCCCGCATTATTTAAAATTTACCAGAAAAATTTTGCTATGTAAATTGACTGGATCGCACAAGAAACAACTTCAGGCGCACGGATGGGACCGGAGAAAAATGCTGCCAAAACCAGGACCTGCCACAAGGTCATTCCAATTCTGCTGACCGTCAATTGCTTTGCGTCACAGCCTAGAAACTTAGGGTGCCGTTCACATCCTCGGTAAAAGTCGTAGAAGAATGGAGCACCTTCCTGAACTTTTCCCTATTTAATGAAACACATTTAAAGATAATTATGAGCTTTTGTATGTAAGTTATGGAACTCACTTTGATAAGTCTTCCATTAACACAGAGCCAGATGCAAAGAAGTAGAGCAAATAAACTCAGGCAGGCTAAAATGTCTGGAAAGTTGATGACTATAATTGGGCTCAAATCTGGATTCATGTACTAAAAATAAACAAATACCAAGATAAGCTTTACTTAAATAAAACTTATAAATTAGATTGCACCTGCAAAGCGCAGTATAAAACGCAGGTCGCCACGTAAAACTGAAATCCATTGTCTTGGTACTCGGGTTCTTCTCCCTCAGGTGAAATGGGTCCTTTGAACTTTTTGTCCGGAATCCAAAGCCAAATGAATACCCAAAATATAAATGCGCCCGTCTTAAAAATTTTAAAAATTGTGAAATTTGAAAAATAAATTGTGAATTAGTTACAATGATCCATGATTCCGTGTTTCCAAGAAGCCTGGGGCACTGCTCGCGATCAAATGGGCAGGGAGTCCGTCCCAGCAGGCCAAGCCACTGGACAGCTCCTGTGAAGACCAGGACGAACAGTGGTGGAATCACATTGTAGCGCAGCGTATTGTACCACCCCGAGTCCAGCAGCGATTTTGGCTGCTGCTGCGGTTCAGCCATACTTATTTTTGAGATATGAAATGTTAATATGATCTTTGCTCATATGAGACGTATGTTGGCAATTTGACAGTGTGATTAGATTGTAAAGGAAAGCAGCTGGATTTGGATGCAGATTAAATAACAAAAATTTGTTTTATTCTTCTTTGATCATCATGATGATTACATTGAATTAAAAGAGGCTGTAGCAATAACAGAAGATTGCTTTCAACTTTTGATATTATTTTGTTATATATGCATTTTTGTTTCCGTTTAATGTAATATACTTTATAATAATACTTCAACATTTTTTGCTTTTTATGAAGGAACTTTTGGGTTAGCAGAGGATGCGCTTTTATAGTCCCACTTGATGCAAAATTAAGTATATACCAGAAAAAAAGAACACTAGATGAAAATACTTCACAGGCTAAATTATTAAATTCGCATTACAAACATTCAGTTGAAAATACTCACTTAAATTTACATTATTCATTATTAAGTATCGCATCAAAAATACTCACTTAAATGAGAGCTCACAATACTAACAAGATTCTTATTATTTTTAACATCACATACAAATTCACAACATTTGTGTTATTACTTTGCAATTGTTCCTGCTCTTTAAAATAATCCCAGGATATTTTGACGACAAGAGGAGTTGAATAATAGAAGGAGCCAAAAGTAAAAATTATCTTGCAATAATAGTTGCAATTTGAAGCAGATCAAATACATCCAGAATTACCAAATACAACAAGGGTTCAAATCATCATTATTGCGTGGGGTTATTTTGGCACTGCCAGGCGTTTGTAACACTTCTTCATTTTGCGACAAAAAATCTCAGAGCCCTTTGGCGATGATGAGAATTCTTCACTTTCGGGAAGGCCTTGCAATCAGATCAAGAGTATTGGCAATAAGATATAAAATAAAGCAGGTGTATCTTTTCTTTTCATTAATTTTTTAGTTCAGCAACGGCCTTTCCAAACATTTAAACACGGGGCCTCCACTTTCAATTATTTGGTAGGTTAAACTAGGAGTTCACAATTTCAGATTCGCATCTCTTGGATATTCATGTTCCTCAGCAACAGGTGATTTTCTTTGTGACACTTTGAACAGTAAAAGTCTGTATCGGGGCATCCAAAGAACTTGCATTCTGGCGTCCGACATGGCCTCGAGCTTGCAGTGTCCAGCATTTTGAAGCCAGCATAGTCGCGTCTGATGTTGGACGGCGAGCTGCTCGAGCTGTTGTTCACAGGCACCACCGTCACATGACCTTGGGCCACAAAATTCGTATCCCACGTGGCGCCGCCGCCAGCCTTCCTGCTCAGGGCGGGACTCTCCGTATCATTGTAGAAGGTGGACTTGGACAGATACAAAGTCTGGTCGGTGTTGCTGCCTGCCCTGCTGAGCGGGATCTTGGCCGCCAACTGGTAAGCCTCTGCATTGGACTCTGCGTAGAATTTCGACCGTCCCGTTCCATATTTGGCCTCGTTGGCCCTGGACATGAGGGGAGAGTTGATGTGCTCCTTCTGCTTGGCGTAGCAACCTGAGCACAGGTAGCTGGTGTTTGCTGTGCCGTACAGACTGCATCCAGGGCTAACACACAGTGACGGGCCATCGGTGTCACTTTCTTTGGCCCGTCGTTCCTCAGCCTGTCTGTTCCGCAACTCTTGGTCTTTTTCGAACCTTATTCTAGCAGACTGAAGGTAGTTCCTGACCATCTCCTCCTGGTACTCGTGTCTCTTCTCCGTATGCAGAACAGCACACAAAATGTGGTCCTGGCTCTGCTTGCGGCTCTCAGCCTCTCTTTTTCCTCCAGAGTTGCCTTTTTTCTTCAGCGAGTTGTTTCGAGTCATCTTTGTAATGCTGCCAAAGTTTTTCTTGATGCGTTTGCTCATTGACTTGCCGATGCTGCCGAACTGTTTGGCCACAGACTGCAGTTGTTTGGCGGCCTTACTCTTGTAGACCCCGCTGTCGGAGGAGCTGCTCATTTCGTCACACTCCAGGTCAACCTCAGATAGCCGCCTTTCAATTTCCTCCTCCTCCACAGGCGACGAACCTTCCAAGTCCGTCTCACCACTCTCTCCAGCCTCCATCGGGCTCAGGGGCACGGTGATGACGTCCAAGTACTCCCTCAGCAGACCCAGTCTATCCTTTTGTGCAAGAGTGAAGCGGCTTGCTAAATTAGGGATGTGCTCATCGCGGCCCCAGACAAATTGCTCGCCAGGGTCGATATTGAACTGGATTGGAAGCAGCTCGTGTTCTGAGTCAGTCAATGGAATCACAGCTATGAAAAGAAGAATAAAATTAATTTATAAAAAAATTAATAGACTAGTGATAATCATGATATGTCTATTTATAAGGGGAGGAAATTTAAAATAAAGGAAAAATTAAAAAAAAAAAGGCTTAGCATCCGAAAAAAAAATTTTGTATCAAAATAAATTACTTAAATTAAGTGAAATGAGACCAACCTGGTGGTTGTGGTGCTTTATCAACAAAAGACTCCTTTTCCATTACAACAAGAGCTGAGAAATGGGCTGCATCGTAGGTCAAAACTAACGGGGATCTGTGGCACTCTTGAGGTGGACATTCTAGAGGAAGGTAGATTCCGCCAAATGGAATTGGAGCCAGTGCTTCTCCGTTTATATCCTTATAATTTAACAATTTAATTGAAAGTTCATTTAATTATTGCAGATTAAATACCTTCAAAACAAGATCAGCTATCACAATGATTGGTCTCCTCAAAACGTGGGCCAGAGCGAGGACATGGACCTCTTCTAGACTTTCGTATACTGCGTTTTCAGAACAGTCATCGCTAAATTGAAAATACAATAAAAAATTTGGAAATTTACAAGCAAAAATGCTACAACCTTTGCTTTCCAAATGCCGAATCAAAAGCCATGCTTCGTCTCCTTGTGGTGGTTCCCTTTCTTGGCGCCGTTGATGCCATGTTAACGATGCTGTCCCACTCTTTCTGCCACTCCAACTCGCTGTAAACCAACCCTGCCTGCTGGTTGAGCTGCGTTTGCTGCCACCTCCAACGCCTCCAGAGGGCTGCTTGGCAGTCGCTGTTGGTGAGGAAGTTGTAGAGTGCCTTTCGCAGGGTCAGCAGCCTATCATGGAAGCCCCACATTCCTGCAAAAAGTGTGTTTCAGAAAAATGTTGAATAATCCGTTGCACAATGTCAAAGTAGAGCTTGGTAGCACACAAAAGAGGTAATGGGATAATGTAATAACCATTTGGAAGCTATATAAAAATTACACAAACAACGAGACCTACCTAGTGATGCAGCGTGCAGGAGGCAGTTTCCGTCGCCTGAAGTGGCCAACGGCCATAATCTCTGACATGCTCCCGAGTCCGCCCACCAATTCAATCTACCCGACTGCTCTAGTGATGCTAACGTCGACTTCTCAATCAAGTCTTTTTCCAAGAAGGCTCGAAAATCATCTAAATGTAATCAATTTCAATTAAAAAAAAATTTTATTCAAGAGGGAAAAGGACGTACCTGGATATATTGTGAGATCTGGCAGTGTGAAGGTGTAAACGGGTGTTTCAATAAAGTACTGGTTCAGGTTCACCAAGGCATTGTTATCTCTGAAGTCGAGTGCGAACTCTGAACGAGCCTTTGACACCAAATTGACATTGTCCGTCGCCCTCGAAATTCCTCTAGCCAATTTTTTCCCTGTAAGGTAATAAATTTTGGTCAAAATCTCAAATTAACTTATTGTGCAATTTCAAACCTTCTGTGAAATCGACGGCGTCTGCCTTCTGCAAAACTGGACGGCTGGTGGAGGCAGACAGCGAGGCTGGCAGCGGTGGAATCGGAGGCGGCGGCGGAGGAACGTGCGTGCTGCCGTTGAGGAGCAGGGGCCGGTACGCCGTCGAGGTTGGCACCGTCTCGTGGCCCATCATCAGAAAGTTGTACGATTTGACCGCCAAGTGCAGGTCCCAGTTCTCGGCTGCCAATCACAAGTCAAAGTATGAGTTGAGCTCAAAGTTAAAAACAAACTCTCTCTTCTCACCTTGGAGAATGTTCCGGGCTACACCTGGGTCTGCTCCTGTGTGAGCGCAAAACTCCGCCACCAGATTGTTCTCCATGCCCCATCTGCAACACAAAAAGTTTCTTTGTTTAAATGCTACAACTTCACCTTGCTCTAGTTGCTTCATGTGTCTGAATTGTATAAGAAAAAATCAATAGATTGGGTGTCAATTGATGGGGGTGATGAGAAACAAAAGCTTATTTATGAGAAAGACTTTGTATTTGTATGTACAAAATATAGATTTAAATTTATCCGTATAGAGTCTTTGGAGTTAATCTTGTTTAAAATTCTTAAAATTTATCTTTCTTTTAAACAAAAACAACAAAACATAAAAATATGAATAAAATATGAAAAACCTCACATAGAGACATAATTTTTTTAATTTGCAGACGTATTGGCTTTCAGGTGTACCATTAATACACCCTCAAAATTCAAAAGTGCTTCTTTCTGTTTATCATCAATTTTTGTTTCTAAGTCCATCGACCTGGTATGACGATGCGTTAGGACAGCATTAAGATAAGCTCGCTGGGCGCGGATAAGGCACAACATGGGGCGTGATGCCTTTTGGACGCGAAATTATTTCCACCCGACTTTTACACATAATGCAGACGAGTGTGAAGCGGCCGTGGTTATAAATAGGCCAGCACATTTTGGCGTCACTCTCTCGTGATGAGATTTCACTCTTGATTGACCATCAAAATATACACCGGCGACGGACGACTAAATTTATGCGCTGACCGCCGCGTACTAATTCAATCATCTCGGGGTTGGTAATAATTTTTTGTCGCGTGTCGCAATATGCAAAGATCAACGCCTGGGGAGAGAGAATCGTTTTGAAATTATGCGTTTCGGCGGAAACCGAAATGGGTCAGCCTTGTCAAAATAACCACACTCAGTAAAATTGAAAAATAAAAACAAGAAAATGGGGAAATTTGGGGAAATTCGAAATGAATTTTATAAAAATATCTTGATTTTATTGGTTCATCTGAATTGAATTTTTCCTAAATAAGTTCAACGGTGGAAAATTGGATAATGGGTCAAGGAATTTTAATTTATTTTCAGCTCTTAAGATATATCTTTGAAATGTGGCCAATTTATTGAAATTGAAACGATCACTTTCAAATCTAGAAAATTGTTACATTTATAGCCCGCAAAATTCAATAAAGGAAAATAAAAATTTTACTGTTGGTTCAATTTATTTTCAGACAAGGAAGTAAACACAATTTTGTCTGTTTAAAAAGTGTTAATTTTGTTGATCAAAATTTAATTTATTCAGCGAAAATTAAGACCAAGCATTTAAAAAAAATTAATTTTAAAAGAATCAAATTTAAAAATCCTACATAACTTGTAACTATTTTAATCAAATGTAATTAATTTTCCAAAGAAATAAAAATCAAGTTTACACAAGAAGAAAATTTGAACTCTGCAGGGGTCGAGGATGTAAAAAAATTACCAAAAGTCGCCGTTAGCACTGCGCAAACTTCTAAATTTAGGCGACAATAAGAGCTAACGAGGCAGACGCCCTAAGCTTTCAAATCGCAATTAGCCGCGTCAAGATTCGTCGCAGTGAGCACCTCAATTAAGTGGCGAAACGGGCATGAAAATCACGCACTGAACTCTCTCTCAAAAGCACTCGAAATAAATAAAAAACAATTATTCTCATTCCTTCACCTGTCCCAAACGTAGTTGCGCTGCTGCGTTTTCGTCATCATTGCTTATTTTGATTTTCACTGCACGACAAAGAAAAAGCACATCGATATTCTGCGGCGGCGACGTTGACTGAGGCACCGTGACACCGACCGACCGCGACTGCCGAGGCAAATCGCTGGCCAACAAAACACCAAAGGGAGGGGCCCCCCTTTTGATTGCCACTTCCGAGGGGCAGGCGCACTTCACTATTATAAAAAACGGGCCACTTCCGCCTCGCGTTCGCCACAACAAATAAATATACAACAAAAGAACAAACAAACTGCGTCGCTGCTCGATTAATTATGAATAAATGCGCCGTCGTTAAAAATTCATGCGTGTCTAGAAAAAGGTACTACAGAAATTGTTCGTTTGTTCTAGAAGAGAAGAGACGAGATTTTTGTTCAGCCAGAGTGCGATGGAAACACACGATCTTCAATCTGAATAAAATAGGAGCTTTGATGGAAATTTGGACAAAATTTACAAATCTAGTCAAAATTTTAAATCGTTGATTACTTTGAATTACACTATTCTTATTTTTTAATTGCAATGAGAATTAATTAAAAAGAAACCAACTAGGAAAATATCTATAAATTTTTCCTAACTTGTTTTGTTATAATTTGTTTTCGAAAATAATCAAAAGATAAAGAAAGGGGACTGATTTAAATGTAAGCACAATAGTGAGATTTTGACTTTCCGCAGCAATTTTTTTTGCGACGTTTCCCCTAGCTTGGCATTGCAGCCAGCGTGGTTTAAATGCAAACAGCTCTAAGTGAAGCTATGAATATTTAATAAAAGCAGATCAATAAAAATTATTTGGAACTCGAGACATGAAAAATTACTTTGCCCTCCGCGAACATAAAATTTGTTATAACTATCTGATGGCGCGACGTCTGGCGCGCCCATAGCTTTTGCGCTTCAAGAGCAGCCGATTGTGCAATGCGGTGCACGTAAGAATTAGATAAAAGTTTTAAATTGCAAAATAATCGCGGGCATGCCATTAGCGCGGTCGCCACGAGCGTGTTTTCTATGTAATAGATTAAATTGAGAAAACACCACTCGAGGAAAACATTTCATTTAACCCTTTCAAAACTTTATTCAAATCTATTTAATATTTTGTAAGATTCAATTGATTTTATTATATCATAAAATAGAAAATGAAACCATTTTAATTTTTAAAATTACCATATTTATATAAAAATTAAAATTAGATTTTTTTTAAATTTTGGAGACGCAATTTAATGCAAATAACAATCCCACGCGCGCTTGAGCAGTAAACAAACCTAAGGCAGATTCCGATTCATTTTCAAACAACAAAATTCACTCAAGACAGACAGTCCCGGTGCAAATCAAGGCCAAGGACTTTTGCTGGATGAATGATCATCACGCTGGTTTATTTTTGTTTTCCGAGTCAGCGGTGCGAAAATCACCTTAATTGCCAATTTCACGCATGGAGGGTGAGTTTTAATTAGCGCGACCCCTCTTAAAACACTCTTCTTCAAATTTCTGGCATTTGAAATAATTTTCAAGTTGGTTTTTTTCTATCCATTTGCGTACTTAAATAGGAAATCCCACAAAAGTTTCTAATCAAATAAAACAAGAACGGAAATCCTGAGCCCAGGTCTGTGAATAATAAATGCTTCCATGTTGAAACCGGAAAAATGCAAGTGAAGGGAAAAATAAATAAAGAAAAAACAAGAATAAATGTGATGGGGTTGCAGTTAATTCGTCAAACAAGGACATTCCATGGAAGCAATATATAGATAATTAAATCTCAGATTAAAAAAATTTAAGTAAAATTAAATGAAGTTTTTGCAGACAAAATTAGTAAATTTCTATGTCAAGACTCAAGATATATTTGAATTTAGTATAGAAAATATTAATGAGCAAAGACATTAAAATTGCAAACTGCATATTAAATTATTGTTGGAACTGTTATGCGGACTTAATTAAATATTAAATGAGTCATTTATCAAAGGTCTAAATTACCCCTGCTGCACCTCATTTCATAGATAATGAAGCGTGGAATATTTAACGTAAGCCAGGAGTTATTGTATTGCGCTCGAAAGAAATTAATGAATTAAAAAAGTATCATAAATTCCCCCCCAAAAAAACATTTTTCGTGATTATTTTGCATTTTAATCTGTTTCATGAATGGTTTTGCAATAACATGACACAAATTTAATGTATTATGGCGATAAAACACCTATAGGTCTGCTGGAAAAATGCAATTAAATTAAATCTAGAGTACTATTTTAGACGCAGAAATAGTAGGGCTAGAATGGAAGATTATATTTTTCTCCTGAGAGAATAAATAAATCAGATCGGAGGTCAAAGGTCATGGTTACTTTTCAGAAGAAAGACAGGTAAAAAATAATGATTAAAAAAATTAATTATTTTGCTGAAATTGTTCTATTTATAAGACACTCGTAACATATCGGAAGATCATTATAATTTAATTTTAATTCACTTTAATTTTTAAAATTTGCTATTCCGACATTTATAGAAGAAAAAAATTTTATGACACTATTTTTTATACTTAATTTCATGCACCTGATAACCACGGAGTCATCAAATAACTCATTTTTCATTAATTAAAAAAAAATGGAAAATATTTAAAAAAAAAAAACGAAAGAAATTAAATTATTAAAGAATTAAGTTCGTGACATTTTTGAGCACGAAAGAATAATTCAAGCAATCAGATTGCATTGTGTGTATTTAATTATTTTGAAACAAAAGCGAGGCGCGTGCTTGGATCGACTTGCATGTACGGAGGCATAAATTTAACATGGCAAGTGAGCATCCTGCGGAGGCGAAGCAGCCTAACAGTAAATAATCACACATTTGGCTCGCTCTCAATAAAAGTACAAAAGTTGGTGCACCATTTTCGTTTTTTTTTTCGGCTGCCGATCGGAACGCGCCCAATTCCTCCGCTGGCAGACAAAGAGAGACCGCATGCAGTGCCCGTAATTAATTCTTCTGGGAGCTCCTCTCGTGACCCACTTCCAGCGAAAAAGTACAACGTGGAGCATCTCGAGGCCGCCGAAACCTTTGGTGACTGCACTTGAATACCAAAACGGCGACACACGCGCTCAGGGGACACGCTCGAGCCACTTGAGACAATGGCAGAAAAATTCGATGAAAAAATATGATAGACCATTAAGGAGGTAAACGGGACTCTGATCGAAATCATAAAATATACAGAAAATTCTTGGAACTTGTCGCTTCTTTTCTTAAATTGTTTAATTAATTAATGTTAAATGTTATCTAATTTTTAATTAAAATTGCTCAAATTCTAGTCCAGTTTGAATTTGATGCGAAATGTTTACACTATTATCAATTGATTTTGAGATAAAAGTTGGTTGAGAAAAATTCACGAAAATTATGGAGGTGATATTTTTAGCAAAATCTTGAAATGAATTAAATTTAATAGGAAAACTTAAACGGATTTTTATTCCATATACAAAACAAGAAATTTCAATTTTTTGCTAATGAAATATTGTTGGAAAACGCGAACAAAGTTTTTATTTATAATTACCAATGAGAAAAAGTCAATATTTTCATGTAATAAATAAAAATGAATTATAATGCACAGGTTATATTTTTTTTTTGAAATTATTGAAAACTGCCAGATTAGAATTAAAAAATTGGCCATCAAATTATTAGCACTACTTTTTATGTACAAATTTCTTCAAGGTAAAAATCTGAGTGCTATTATTTATCATTTCTGACGGTAACCAAAAATTGACCTTGCCCTCTGACCCCAGCCTTGGTGTCATATTGCAAAATTAATAAATTATTTGACACTTTCACAGTTGTACGTGTTTTATATAATTTAATTTATGTATTGACCTGTTAAGGTTTAACTGAACGTTTTATAGAGCAGATTCAAAGCGTAACCAGATTAATATAATTCTCAACAATTAATTTAATCTCACAGTCAATATCTTGCTCATAAAAATGAATCTCTTTCTAATCTGTAGTTTTACAATCTTTAATACCAAATTCAATTATTTGACTTAAAATTTAATCCCCTTGCCTTTAATTTGATAACTTCATTTATTAATCATTTATTACAAGTTGAGCTAATTTTGCACTTGTTTACAAGATTCGCAATTTCTAAGTTTAGCCGCGGGTTTGTGTTTGGTACATCATACGGACGGAAAGATGCAACCGAGAGAGACGAGGAGACAACAAATCCGCCGACTGAAATAAAAATGTGGCAATAATAGTAGAAGATGCAAATGCCAAGCAACGACGAGTTTCGCCACGCGTGCGTTGCACACAAATTTTACTTAGAATTATTTATAATTATTCGCACGAGGAGATGTATATGTGGTAAAAAAGGAAACGCAAAACGCGTGCAGTGTAATTTGAGAGCAGCGACGGACAACAAGAAGAAGTTTTGACTTGGCGCACAAAGGAGGCTTCATTAAAAAAAAGGGCTTCGCTCTTATTCAAGAGATCGAGCCAAGGTCGCATCATTATTGTGTCTCATCTCGGTTTTAAATTAACGTGACGTATTAATCCGAGAGCAGAAACAAAATTGGCAATAATTTGATCAGTGAATAATTTTAATGGATCATTCGAAGCGGACGGAATTGACGGGTTCGCGAAGTGGGCGAATTGGGACACCAGAGTACATCGAGTTCTCGAAGAGAGGAGCCGGGCAAATACTCACGGGAAGCTACAGCCGGTGGCATGTAATGCTGACGGAATCCAATTAGTCCTGATTCGATTAGGAAAATGCGCTCGTCAGACGCAGCAGCGGCGGCAGCGTTTGTCCGTCCGAAGTAGTTGTCACACGACCATTTCTCCTCCGCGACAGCTGTTGCGCGAGCCAGGTTGCCACGCACGCCGTCCAGGTGGCAGCACTGCCCTCCGAGCGATTCGACCTCTCGCGCAGTAGTTCGATCTGCTGGCCCAGCTGGTTAGGCCAAACAAACGCACGACACCACCGCTGATTAACCAGAGATAATTAGCGTCAAACCGCGACCTGCATGTCCGCCCAGAGTGAGTAACTTTTTTCCCGCCCGACCGGAACTAGAGTCCCCTGGCGAGGCGACACTTGCCCTGTCCAGGGCCCAACTGCGCCTTGACCTTTTAGCCATTTTATGTCTCGACGAGATGCGCCGAGCAGGAAAAATGTCGAGTGTGTGTCACTTTTGCGTCTCTCTTTGTCCGGTTCGCCTCCGTTTCTGGCTCGTTACCGCGATAATTGCTTTTGATTTCTCCAGACAATAGAAAAGTTGGTGAATTAAGGCTGAGATTTCCAAGCGAAGGATGGGAATCAGTAAAAATATGGAACGATTATTCCTGGAGTAAAACGCTTAGAGTCTCTGGCAATCGTAGCGAAATTGCTTACACATTACATACCACTGCTCGTTGTGGTCATAACAATAACATGTGACGTGTTTTTAACTTATAGATTCTCTTATTTCTTGTTCAAATTCAAAACAACGCAGTAGCTAGAATTTAAATGATTGAAAAAAAATCTGTTTACTTTAAAAGTGTGCAGAAATTTAATTATTTCTACCCTGGCAATTATTTACAAAAAAAAAAAAAAAAATAATGATGAGACTTAATATTAAAACAAACTATTAAAAATTAAATAATTTAACTTCCAATGTCCGTAAGTTTGACGTTTTTAATTTACATGATTGTTCAATTAAATGGAACAAGTGCTGTGAGATATAATAATTTATTTCATTGAAATAATATAATTTCTTTTGTTACAATAGATCTAAACTATTTAATAAATATTTTAAAAAGTTTTTTCTAGTTTATTCTTAATTTTGAAGCAACTCCATCAAATGCTGTCTATTCGGTTTTGATGAAAAGTAATTGTGATTAAATATTTTGTGCTAACAAAGCAGCATTGTGAGTTTGAAATTAGGATAATATAAAACTCATTATCAATAAACACAATTTTTCTATAAAAGAAGAGGAAATTTTTTATTACTATTTCTACGCAAGTCATGACAAATAAATTAATTTGGAAAAAATTAGCATTTTAATGCATATTGTTATCTTTAAACTTGCTTTAACCTTATAATTTCATTTGGATAATTTGTTTTGTGGAGGTGACAAATATCTCCAAAATATTTTTTATTTCTTCGTTAAATTAACTAATTTGTTTAATTTTTTCCCCAAAACATAATTCGAATCTAACAGCAAAATTTCGTATTTTTTAATTCAAAATCATCATGGTAATTTAAATTTAAAATCGGCTTTTCATCGATGGGTTTTATGAGCTGTTTAGAATGATACGCTTGAAACAAACGTTTCAATATCCTGACCAAAATTATTCAAAAATATTAATTATTATTTATTTTTCATTTTAATCCATCGTCAATTTTGTGTTAAAAATTAATTTGTATAAAAATGTAACCTTCAAATAATTTTTCACGAAAAAGTGTTAATTTGAAAGAAAAACATTGTTAAAAGATTGACTTTTGTACTAATTCTTGTCAAAATTATTTCACAGCTCATGAATTATGGTTGCAGCCAAAACATGTAGAGTAGGATATTGTTTTTTCTTAAACAATAAAAAACTCACGAAAACCATCAAGGAAAAGCCGATTTTTTATTTCAAATCACCATGAATCAACCCTCGATCGTGAAATTCTACCACAAAATCAAAATAATTAGCCGAAAAAAAAATAATTTTAGAATATTACTGATTTTAGAATTGACCTGTGTAAGTTAATTATATCTTAATTATCTAATTTTTTTCGCAGCCTGATGGACTCCTCGAGCGACGACGACGACGTGTCCGGCGGGGACGGAGGCGAGCGTCCGGCCAAGAAGGCACGCGTGGGCGACGGACGGGCCGCCGAGGTCGGTTCGAGCGAGGAGCTCAAGTGCTGGCAGACCGAGCAGCTGGCGCGCGGCATCCTGGACAACACCCTGAACCGGATGCTGGAGCACTCAGGCCAGGCGCCGGACAACCCGGTCAACGAAGTGGCCGTCGAGCACGAGGCGGTGCTGATGGCCATCCAGAGCCACGGTTTGCAGCGCTTCCAGCAGCCAGTCGAGCGCGAGCCGAGCCCGCCGCCGCTGGCCTACCCCTCAAGTTCCTCCTCCAGTGGTGATAATACAGTTTTCGGTCGGCTCGAGCACGACTCGTTTTTGGACGCGGCCGTCGCGGTGGCCATTCAAAAAAAGGGCCTCAGTGTCTTCACCTCGGCCAACAGTGTTTGACCGACAGGCTGCACTTTTTCTTCTGGCTGCATTAAAGGGGCAGCGAACTTTTTAAAATATCAATCTTATTGTGAAGATTCGAATTGATCTTTTTGCAAAAAATCCAATTTTATTCAAGAAAATATTGTAAAATTTCTAAAAATGTCAAATTGTTAGGATATTTATTTGCAAATTGCAGAAAGGTCTATCGGGATCTGAATAGCAAAATTTTTATTTTCAAACCCTTGCTGTGCCCTTTAAGAAAATTGAATAAAATTTATACACAAAGTCCAGCAGAATTTGCCACTTTGAGATTGGTGCGCGTTGTTGTAAGAAAGAAAGATACTGATTTGAGGGCGATTAAAAATCGAAACCTTTACATACCATAAGTCTTGAGAAATATTTTAAATAGTTTGAATTTTTTCAAATTTTAAATATCTTTTTGGTTCTAGAATCGCCCCTGATTGATGTTTGTATTTAAAAGAAAAAAAAACTACTATTACTATTTCTAGAGTGCCATGCAGCTCTTCTTGTATAAAAAAACTCCATGTCTGTAAACTGATCATTCATGATTTTTACTTCAAACTTATATACACGGTCACAGCCGACGGATTTGTATGGGCATTTTAAATGCGCCTCCATATCGAATCCGAGTTGGCGTGCAATTTTGCATTTATCCAATTTACTACCTATATCAATATAATCGCAGAATAGAGAGAAAATTGCAGCTCCTTTTTAAATAGCTCTGGTGTGTGTGGTACAGGCCTTTTAGCTGACTTTTCCAGGCGCAACATTTCAAAAGTCTTATTATAATGAATGATTGTGATCTGTATTTAGTTTTAGGAAAAATATGTTGGTGTATTTAAATTGGAGTCGAAATTATTTATTATTTATTTTCGTGAGTGCTTTGTGCCTGGTCTTATTTAGTTTAAGACTCGATGAAAAAAGACAAAAAGCCTGAAATTGGCGTCAGAGGGTTACCTGATTTTTTGCCTACCACTGCCAAGGAGCCTAAACTGCTAACCTCATCGTCAGCTCCTTTCCTTGCACCTGCAGGGGCGACACCAAGGTTAATTAGTAATTCCCTACAAATTTGTATTACCTTTTTGTGTGACTTATTACAATTATTACCGCTACAATTAGCAAATATATATAAATGTGTTATCAAGTTGCAATTTATTATTTTTTAACATGTGAAAAATTGATGTAAAGAAAGACCACGTGTTCTTTTGTAAATAAAATATCCATTGAGTGTCCTACAGCTAAATGGTAACGTTAGCAACAAAAATAAACCACGCTTGTTTTCGTTTTTCCAACCCAATTTTTTTTATCGCCCATCGCTGATGCCTAACACGTCATTAGCTAATAGAGTCAAAAATTGAACGCAGTTTGTCCTCAGAATGGCTAGACAAAGGTCCCATTGTCAAAATAGTCGAGGTGAATTTCTTGGATCGCAGGAGGGTCTCGCCTGGCGCAATTTCCACGTCGGACGTGCAAAATTGGATAGCTCCACGTACAGCTCAATTATTCTTGCTGCCTTCGGAATGGTGAACAAATTCTGTTTGATAGATTTTTCTTAATTTTTATACATTCCAACATTTTTTGTCAGCTCAAAATAAGTGAATCATCTCTTTTTGTCTTAATTCAAATAGTGTCAATATAAGTTAAGATTGATGCTCAGCTTTGATGAAAAAAGAATTATAGTCAATTTTTTATTCTAATTCTGCCTTGTAAGATTGAATTTTGAAGTTATATTAAAAATATAATATTAAATTGTATTAATAAAATAATCTATTGCAAATTTATTTATGACATTTTTTTCATCTTAAAAATAAACTTCCTTGTGGATGATACCGATGGAATTAATATTTAACCTTTCATATTTAACTAATATTATAAAATAATTTTTTTAGTTCTTTTTGAATGGCAAAAGTATTAAATTGAAAAAAAGCAACGTGATCTCTGATTTGTTTGCCCATAGCATGCTAAAATGGTAAAAAAAAAATAGTCGCAATGTGAGTCATATTTACACTTTCTTTACTCTACTAACAAAAAGTATACTCATTTGATGGTTTTAAATCCATTTTAAGCAGCAGAAAATGTCAAATTAAATTTAGCGCTGTTCTATTTGCCTCTTGGGTAACTTTAAAACCCTCTTTTAGTTTGTAATTTTTGACAGTGGAAAATTTTTCTGAAAGAAAATTACTTGCCAAAAGCGATCTATGGGAAACTATTTTATTAAAATTATGAAATTTGATTTTCTGGAATTTTTAGATCCGTTTGATTTATGAATTGTTTTCATTAATATTTTGATTTGTCTGCAGGACGTAATGTCCGCCTACGCCTTCACTTATCCGTCAAACGTCCCTTCCTGGCTGATGACCCTTCTCTCGGTCAACACCGTCGCGGTCATAGCGATGCACTGCCTGGCCTTTATCATCGGCACGTGGCTCTCCCCATACATGCACGCCACCACCAAAGAGTACCACCCGCCCTCGGAAGGTCCCCTCGAGAAAGTGCCGAATTTTTTGCCGCACGCCAGGTTCAAGGGTTACATTCGCTTGAGCCACCGAATTTCGCACGTCGGCGGCCTCTTCGTTTTTCTCGTCGAGATCGTTTTGATCGCGTGGGTCAAGTTTTGGGACGTGTCGCTCAAGGCCTGCGTCGCCAGCACGGTCATCATGCTGCCGTTCATGATGGCCTTCGTGTTTTTCTGGTGGTACTTCCACTTCAGCTACAACACGCAAATCTACCTCAACAGAATTGAAGTCATCGATAATGTGGAATTGCTTTACAATCAAATGAAACGCGACGCTTGCACTTATGCGTGTTCCAATGAGAATTTGGACCAAATTTCTAATAGGAGGATTAGTACTGCGGGTGATTCCTACAACTGCACAAGGAGGAGATCATTGCCAACTAAATATCCTAGCATGTAAAAATTTAATCACTTGCGGTGGCTGTTATTAATACCTAAATTTTGAATAAAACTGACATTTTGTTATTTAATTTCTGTTAAAAATTGCACATTAAAGAGAGATAGAAATGAAATATTGATTCAAAATGTTTTTTTTTTATATATATATAACAGATTAAGATTTGGCTTTTTTAGTTGATTTGTGTTTATGGAAACACAATGTTCTTAGTTTTCCATCCGCAGTGAATAAATCTGCAAGCTTATTAGCTTTAAAAAAAAAATTAGTACTTATTCATAATTTTACCCGATTTAACCAAAAGATTTTGCTTGCCTTGAAACTTGAACAAAAATTGGTGGGACAAAATTCATTAAAATAAATAAATTAATAGCAAATAATTGATGTAATTATTTAATTTTTTTCTCCGATTGTACCCAAAATTTGTTTGGAAAATCAAGAGCAAAAACGGATCTTATAATTATTATAAAATCAGATTTGGTTATAAAACCTCAATTTTCACAATGGATCGTGCAGACATTTGATGTTTATAGTTTTTTAATATATTATATTGGTCAGGCAGAAGTTACGTATTTTTTTTTGTATGGTGTTTACTTCAGAAAAACCCAGTAACTTATCACATTCAAGAACTGCGGGGTTTCGGCGCGCTATATATTTCTTAATTTTTTTTTGCTGATAAAAACATTTTGAGTATTTGAGTCCCTGCTCAGTTTAAATAGTCACTAAGTTAATGGCAAACGTAAGTTCTTGTTCACACTCTTCAAAAATTTTGGAAACCAAAGAGGGCATACAATGGCGTAATTTCCACTACGGACATGCAAAACTTGAAAGCACGACCAGATCTTCGATATTTTTGGCTGCTTTCGGAATGGTATATATTTGAAATTTTAGATTTGATTTTTTACATTGATTTAATTTAGGAAATCATGACGTCCTTCCAATTCACTCAGCCTTCTCACGCGCCATCCTGGATAACATCGCTTCTCTCGGTGAACACCGTCGTTTTGATCGCAATGAACTCGTTCGCCTTTGTCATCGGCACCTGTTTGCTGCCCCACTTGAAGGCCGTCAATGAAGAGTACGTCGCGCCTCAAGAGGGCCAAACAAAAATGAACGCCGTGCCCTCGTTTTCACCACACGAGCAGTTGTCCGGGTTCATCAGGACAAGCCAAAGAATTTCCCACGTCTTCGGCCTGTTCGTTTTCCTCCTCGAAGTGCCACTGGTGATTTGGGTCAAATTATGGGACCTTTCGCAAAACGCGTGCATCGCCAGCACGGCGGTCATGGTGCCCTTCATGGTCATTTTTGCCACTTTTGTATGGTTTTTCAACTTCGGTTATAAAACGCAAATGTACAAAAACAGGCAAACTGTGATCGACGAAGTTGAAAACCAGTACAAGAGCAGGTCGCGGGAATCTTTGGAAATGACTGATATTTTTTGCGAAGAGCATCATTTTCCTGAAATTAACGTGTCTCAAAGGCACAGCCTGGATGCCAATTTCAGGCCTGGCAGCAACCCACACCATTTGAGAGAACATAGTTTTCACAGACACAGCATGTCTCATTTATGTGAAACTGCAGAGGTTATTGAATAATAAAGTTTAATGACGATTTTATGTTTAAAATAAACTGGTTTTATTTTGACTTCGATCCATATAATTTTTTAGGTGTAAAAAAGTCGTGCGTATATTTAAAAAAAAACTTATTTCCACACTTCCTTAGAGACGATAATATTGAAAAATCCGAAAAAAATAATTACATGTATTGATTTATATGAGGTAAAATTAAGAATAATGCTATTGTATTATTTAAAAAAAAATTTAAATTTTTATGCAATTTCATGTTTGTCAATAAGCGGATAAAAACTTATCACATTTTCAAACCTACACAGGGTTTGAAACGCTTGCTCAATCACCCTGCCGATAAGTTAAAGCATTTCAGTTCCTCTTTGTGCAGATACCAGTCAACAAAAAAGTAATGCCAAATTCTTTGAAAATTCTCGAAACCAAAGAGGGAATACAATGGCGGAATTTCCACTACGCACACGCAAAGCTGCAAATGACGACCAGAACTTCAACATTTTTGGTTGCTTTTGGAACGGTATATTTTTTATAAATCATTAAATTTAATGTTTTACAGGCATATTCATTTCAGGGAATCCTGACGTCATATCAATTCAACAGCCCCACTGCAGTACCTTCCTTCGTAGTTTCGCTTCTTTCGGTGAACTCAGTCATTCTGATCGCCTTGCATGCGTTCTCTGTTATCATCGGCACGTGTTTGCTGCCCAACTTTCAAGTTGCCAAGGAAGAGTATGTCGCGCCTCAAGAGGGCCAAACCAAAATGAACGCCGTGCCCTCGTTTTCACCACACGAACAGTACTCGAGGTTCATCAAGGCAAGCCAAAGAATTTCCAACGTCTTCGGCCTGTTAATTTTCCTCCTCGAAGTACCACTGGTGGCGTGGGTCAAATTCTGGGACGTTTCGCAAACCGCATGCATCGCCTGCACGGCGATTACGATTCCCATCATGGCCCTTTTTGTAATTTTTGTCTGGTATTTTAATTTCAAGTACAAAACGCACATCTACCATACCAGGCAAATTTTGATTGACGAGGTTGAAGAAGAGTACAAGAGCAGGTCACAAGAGTCGCTACATGTGATCCATAATTTCAACCAAGTGCACCAAATGCCCAAAATTGTGTCACGAAGGCACAGCCTGGATGCCAATTTCAGGCCGGGCAGCCCTCCGTGCCATTTGGAAATGAAGTTTCACTCACAGCCAAGTCTCACCCTTGAAACCGTGTTTGAGGAATAACAAAAAGAATAAATTCAAGCAACATGTTCATATAATATCTGGTTATATTTTTAATGCCTCGGAGATAAAACTAATCAATTCAGTTAGTAAAATTAATTTAGAATGCACGCTTTTCAAGCAATTGGAAAATGAAATGCCTGCTTAAAAATATAAACTCTAAATGCCAGAATGCAATATGCCGACAACCACCTCGAGTGCTGAATAATTTCAGAGAAATGTACAAAATAAACCATCTGGGAAAATAATGCAATTATAAATAGGTTTCACAGCAATACTTTTCTTAACTAAACCCCAACAAGTTGGAAATTGCATCGATTACAACCTGTTCAGAAGCAGAAAATGATCTCTGGGATTTGGCCGTCCTCGACGGAGGTGCCATTGTTGTTACCTGCGGCGTAGGAAAAGTTGAAAGTGACCTTGCTTCCCGACGGACAGTCCAAAGTGACCTTCCGCATTCCTTTGCTGCCGTAATGAGAATCAGGCCCCTGAGAAATTATATTTTTTCATAAAATTTCAAATCATTATTCAAACCGCACCCATACCTTGATGGTGACTGAGGCAATGTAGCTATTGTTGGCCATGATCTCAACAGGCTGTTTGAAGGTCACACGGAATGTGTTGTTGAAGCCGTCGGTGCTGTAGCTGATGTGGTTCGAGGCGATCACCCGGCCAGAAACTGTGTGGATGATCTCGATGGTGGCCGAGTAGTCGGCAGGGCCGTGGATGGACCCGTAAAGACCGAAACCTATGACGTAGATCTTCTTGTCGACGGTGAATCGAACTCGATCACTGGTGCCCGAGTAGCCCCAGCGCGTTTCAACCTCCTTGAAGCGGTTGATGGTCAACTCCTTGCCCAGGTTGCAGCAGCGGGGAGCGTCGAGGAAGTTGATGGCTGGTTTCGGGTTGACGGTGAAGTAGAGAAAAAGGGAGACGAGTTCTCGGTCGGATAAAAGACCTGATTGGGCTGGCCCTTGAGCGAATTCCTCTACGCTCATCAGGGGAAAGCGGACAAGCAGGACGGCGCGTCCCAGAACTGAACGCTGATGCTCAGGGGTGGCTGGAAGATTTTGACGGGCGCACTCTGCTTCGGACCATCTGGAAAAAAGGGATTTTAACCAATTTTATTGCTTCCTATTTTTATATAAATAAAATCTGACTAATAAAAATAGTTTAATATCAGCTTAGTCTTGTTGTAGTTTAATAATGAAAAAGTAATTGATATATTTAATATTTAATTCAAATTTTGGAAAATCCAAAATATCCGTTTGCATTTTTTTTTTAAATTTTCACTTTAGAAAAATTTCATAATTATTTTCATTATATCTTTAAATCCACAAAATCAAGTTTTTACCTTTTTTTGCTCAAATTTACTTTTTATAATGATAAATAAAATTGACAACGTATGTAAAAGGAGATTTTCTCTGCCAAAATTTTATATTAAATCAAACAATTAATTAATTAATGTACCTGACAACAGCCTGGAAGAGGTTGATCTCCCTGATGCGCAGGGTGTCCCTCTCCAGGACAGCTGTGAGAGAATCAATGTCGATGTCAGTGAAGCCGTCAGCGCTGAGGGCCTCGGCAGTGTTGGTGTCGATGGTCTCGAGACAGAGAGCGGCCAGCTGTGGCTCATCGAACAACCTGGCTTGGGTGAGCAGCATGAACGCGTTGTCCGACTGCAGATTGCGCTTGAGGAACTCGACGCAGTGCTGCTCGAGGGCGGGCACCGCGTACTTCTTGGCCGTGTACAAAGTGGTCATGACCGTCTCGGGCCCGATGTTGACCTCGTCCGAGTAGAGGAACTGCAGCAGCGCCAGAAAGGAGGAGGGCTCGACGTCGGGCAGTTCAACTTCGTCCGCCTGCAGGGCCAGGGTGCCGTTGAACATGGCGTCGAACACGGAACTTCCCACGGACAGGACAAACTTGTGAGCCGGAATCCTCTGCCGCTGGTCACCGCGGCCCACCATGAAGTGCACGTCCGAGAGGATTTCATTGTTGAAGAGGAAGGCAAAGCGCTCTTTGACTGTTGTTTTTGTTGCCTGAAAACAAAAATCCAAAATTAATGAAAATTAAAATCAGTTAAAAAATAAATTTGAAATTTTGACTATATTTTAGAAAATTATTAAATTAATCATTTGAATCTTGATTCAAATTTACCTGCCAGTTATTGTAAACGTCATCCTGCGATCCTTGCGATCCCTGCGGCGAAGGGCCGGGGGAGATGTTGCGTCGGACGTGTTGTTCGTAGGGTTCGTCTTCCTCGAAGGGCGCGATGGCGTACGGGGCGTTGTGCGGAAGGTTGAGGTGCGGCGGCAGCATGTTCTGCGGCATCTCCTCCTCGATGCTGAGCACGGCCCTTATCTCTGCGGCCCCCAGCCGCCGGTTCAGCGAGTTGCTGCACGGCTCTTCCGAGTCCTGCAGACATTGGAAAAAAATAATTAATGAAAATCTCGCCCCATGTTTCCGGCCCACGTCGAAACTCACCTTTTCCATTTCACTCGTTTGGGCTCAACATCAATCGGCGGGACGTGCTCGCACACGTCTGAGAAAATTTTTTCTCAAACCGATTTGAGATTTTGAGAGAAAAAAGTCAAAATTCGGCGCAGATTTTTCTTCTGCTGACCCAGAATGTTTGTTTACGTGAGCGAGTTTCAGTTTTCACCCGCAGAGGCACTGATGGCGCAGGTGGAAATCCCGCAACCCGCAACACACGCTGAGAGCGAAAATTTTCATCGCGAATATAATTAATCATTTAAGCCGCCTCGTGCTTGTCCAGAGTGAAAAATTAGTTGTTTGTATAGGGATATTAAAATTCTAATCCAAATTTTTTTATTGGAAAAATGATGCTATTTAATAAATTATTAAAATCATTAATTACTGGTCAAGAATTGAAAGCGTGTTTTTAAATGCAAAGGGGCCAGAATTGAAATTGATATTTCGTTATTATTTTTTATAATGATTTTGCTCAGATATATAAGTGAAAACATCAATAATTTTAATTTCATTTTCTATTTCATTGGAAATACCGGGAAATACTTTGTTTTATCTTTTAGCTCAAATATACTTTTATGAATCAGTTCAAATGGAAATATATTTTATATTTTTATGTATTATTTATGTTCATCAAAATATGTCTTAGATTTATATTTTTTTTTTCAAATTCAATTTCAGTATTTCAGCCGTAATAACAAAAATACGGTCTCTAAGTGTTTTTTTTTTTTAATATGCTAAATTTCCCACTTTAAAAGTGATTCACCGCAGAGCTTTTTTCATGAACTTGATGTCGACCCCAATGTTGCTTACGCAAACCAACAGACTGACTGCATCGCAGAAACGTGACATATTAAGGGACACATAACCATAAAAATATAGATGCTTCTCGGCTCGAGTAATTAATCCCGATGAGGCGCAGTAATCAAACAACGCGTTCGTGATCAAATCAAGTCATTTTTGTTTTGTTTGCGCGGCCCATTATCGCAATGCAAATGCAGAAATCAACGGGGCATATTTTATTATTATTGTTGCATATCAAACGATGACTAAAGCAGATGGAGCAGACACAAGTATCTCCCGTTGATATTTATCCGCGCGGAAAATTCGTCACAATTCACGAGGACGCTTTTCTCGCAATAATGAACTGACCATTGAAGGGCGAAATCCCCTTCCGTCATTCGCCTGCCTGCCGGACGTTTACTCATGGCGAAATTAAAGTGAAGGGAGAGTTTGATGAAAAACCCACTCATGCACTTCGCGGAAAATCCAAAATAATGCTTGTTTGATTTCACTGAGATTGTGAGATTCACTCTTCAACTAATGCTTCAAAGTCTGCGATATAAATCAAACCTGTGAAATAGTTCAAAAGTGGGAAATTTTTTTAAATAAATTTTTTTATTTTCAACCAATTCTTGCTGATTTGATAAATGAAGCTTTCATTTCGTCTTAAGTAAGAGCAAAGCAAGAAACTCAGCTTGCGTTTTGTGAATTCAAGTGTTAAGGCAGCTCTTTCATATAATATTAAAGCTTTTCTTGTAGATATTAAAGCGGTTCGAGCTATGCTTTGATTATTTTCACAAATTTTAGCGCTTAGGATTGATAATTTTACTCTGAGAAAATTTGTTTTCTAAAAGTCTAATCAGATTTTTATAAATAAAACGTATAAATAACAATCAATACTAATTAATTCCTCTTGTCATTGAAAAAATTGTAAATACAAATAATTAAATTACAATTTTCCATCAATTACGCTACATTCTATAATGAGTTTATGTTTCCTAAAAATGTTAAACTAAACATCATTTTTGACGAATATATTTTTTGTTCTAAATCTTGTAAAATATTCAAAAATTGCATTATATTTAATGCAGAATGTATTTTCAGTTTATTATAATGAAAAAAGTTCTGAAGTACAAAACTTTGGCAATGTGGAAGATTTATTAAAAAAAAGACCCGAGGTCAAAAGAATCTGCCAGAGTGCATTTGCTAATAAATGAAAAAAAGTGTTAATCTTGGAGATCCTCTGCTGATAACTTGGTAATGCTTTTGTGTATCACAAAGAGAGCAGAATTTGTTCTCGGGGAACTTTGGCGAATGGGCCGAGCAAGGCGAAGTTGCGCGTTGTGGCGAGAGTGTGTTTTGTGTGTGAGAGAGAAAAGTGCGTAAATATTCATGGAGCGTGACGGCGGTCCTTGTGGTGTGGCCGCGCCGTAATTAAAGAGTGTTGTTCTTATCTCTGGTGTATCCATTCACCTTTTGGTCACACGAGAGCCTGCCTAATTCCGTCACACATACGCACACCGACAAAAGCGACAGGCAGGTCCTGGAGCGCGAGAGAGATTAGGCCCGCACGACGGCGCGCGTCATCAGAACCATTTTTCCGCCGAAAAGCTCCTTTGTGGTGCCGCATCAGGACGTACCTCCACCGCCTCTCTACCAGCATCGAAATGTGCTTAATAAGCAATGCTTTTGTTTGTTTCCAGAAATTAATTTCATTATCATCAATCTAGAAATCTATAAATTTATTTAAGCATTTAATTTTTTAGCCATTATATCCGTATAAGTTGTCTGCAACCCGCACAACAAACACTCCAAAATTTAGATGAGAATTATTCCAACTTATTATTTGTCAATCAAAAGTTTCTAGATCAAAAATTTTTTACTAAAATTTTAAATTATTTTATTTAAATTTTTGGAAGGAAATTTATTTATAACATTAATTATTAAAAATTAGTGCTTAACAAAACAGTTAGTTTTATTTTTAACAAAAAAATTTAACGCATGCCAAGTTAAAACTTTAAAAGCAATTTCGCTATAGAGTGAGATTTGAAACGATTGACGAATAAAGTTTATAATGGAAATTTCCCGGTGCTCATTTTTACAAGGTAAAGCAAAACGTGGTTTGTTACAAAAATGAAGTCAAAGTGACGCGCATTAACAAATGTATTGGGAAAACAGTGCTTTCCCTCTCTTTTGTCGGTTGGATTTTGCATAAGCTTCCTGTTTGCACAGCGCCCACATTAGGTAGGCCATCCGTGAGTCCGTTCCGCACAGGTGCTAAATTATTCAAAATGTTGTGATGTGTGGTCAATATCCGTCGTTGTCCGTGTTTCACTTCACAAGACACGCAAACTGCACATAAAAAAACTATAAAAAACGAAAGTGAATTTAAAAATAAATATTCTTGCTTTCGTACCAAGGTCTAGAAAAACTTAAAGAGTTGGTGTAGCTTAAGTACATTTTAAGCATGGATTGAGCAAATTAAAGCTGATTTTTTTCTATACAGAATTCCTTTTTGAACTTATTTTAGGAATGTTCCAACTGAAAATTAAATTTTTTTTAATATTTTACATTTCAAATTTTCAAAAAAAAAAAAAAAAAATAATAATAATAATAATAATCACCCATGAATGGGCGCTTTTACATGAATATAATATATTCATGAAAAAGCGCAACAAATAACCGTTTTTCTGCCATAGAGAAATACAAAAAAACTTTTTAAATGGAAAAAAATTTGTTGGCTTCTTTGCTTGAAATGGAAAACGAATAAAAGCGGGCGCAAAATATGTGCCTATTCTAGAATGCAGATCGTTTTGACATGGCTTCTATCCTATTATATTTGAGTTTGACGAAAAATGTGCACCAAAAACACATAGAG